TTGGTAATCTCTGTTATCCTTTTTATGTATTATAGCAATATCTTCCGTTTCTCTTTTGCAAGATAAAAAATTGCAATAATTTAGTTGATGGCGAATCTTAGGGACGTTTGATGTGTTTGATCTTTTGATTTTGCCATTTGATTAGGAACTTTCCTTTTTGAATTTTCCTCGGAGTTCGTTTTTTTTTTTGTTATTTTACTTTATATATCCATTGATGCAAATACCTTGAAAAAAAAGTTCTAATTATTAATCATCTTACTTAATATTTAAGGTTGCTATACGATTATCATTGTTTTCAACGGTGTAAAGTGGTAATTCTTTTCCCTTGATTATTGTTTTTTTTTTGTTTAATTTCGAGTTTTAATGTTCCAACAGATTAAGCAAGAAACAAAATACAATAATTTATTAGAGGAGAGGCGGAAGATACCAAAGAGATATTCAACTTCATAAGTAGATGACAAACTGACAAATTAATGTTAACAAACGAAAAACAACTAAAAGACAAACAACATTAAAAATCAAAACAAAGAAAATTAAATACAGGGCAACATAAACCCGCCAAAAGGCCGGAGTGATCTCAGGAGCACCGGAACGGTTAGCAGATCCTGCTCCACATGTGGCAGTCGTCGTGTTAGTCATGTAAGTACAAACTCGGTGATAAGTTTAATTCAGTGATGTCATATTCGAGGAGAAGAGGGCAGGGTTTGAACATATCCGTCGTCATCTGCCAAAAAAGTATTACATAACGGTCAACCAAACTTTCGAATGTATGACTTCAGTTTTATCACTTGGGACCCTGAGTTTCCTTCAACGATAAGCAGCAACTCTATATCAATTGAGGAAACACAAGTTCTAAAATTTAGTATCAACTTGGCGATATAAACTCCATATGCAGGAACTGTACTACTGGAATGTTGCTACATAGAAATGGAAAATTCACAATTAAGGTGGCTGGGTGGTATGAATATAAAATATAGGATTTTGCTAATTTTTTTTATAAATGAACTTTATCATGTGCTAAGTGGAAAAGTAAAATAAAAAAATGAAATGACCGTCTACTTAAGAATCCTGGATCAGGATCTGTTAATTGTATTTCTTTGAGACAATAAATGAAAATAAAAAAAAATTACCCTTGCACTTTCTCGAGATTTTTACAGTGTTGTGTATTACTGTTAGGAAAAATTGTAACAAAATTATAGAATAGTCTACAGCTCTAACTCAAAATATGGGAAAAATATGTTTAGGGGGTCTGTCATTCAGTTTGACAGCTCCATACATACATTTACTAATTTTTGCCTTGTTTAACTAACCCAAATCACAACTTAACCTTAAAATCATGATCATTGTTGCTTTTACATGTACTTTTATCTCTCCAACTACTTATATATAATTGTATGCATAAATATAGAAAAATAAATGAGGAAGGTGAATGAATAAAAGTTTGCAAGGTAGACATTGTCAAGACTAGGGACTACATGTGTAGACACTGAAAATTAAAGGATGATAACTTTGTACCAGGACCAAATCTCAAACATTTCCGTGTAACATGTCATATTAAAACATTAAGAAAATGGGTATCTTTCATTAATCATATTAAATCAGAGAATTAGAGTATTATTAACACTATACATGTACTTTAAAATTAAACATTAATCTACCAAAATAGAAAGCTATGTTGTGTACCATAATGTTTGCATTTGCTGAATTAGTGACACAAGGATTTTATATTATTCAGAACCATTGTATGATGGCATTCAAATGTAGAAATAGGAAAAGATCACAAACTTTCATTTCCCATATGCTTATATGTTACGTACATTCATTTTTATGTACCGGTAATAAAGAAATTATAATAGTATCAAATCAGCGAAATACCATGAACAACCTAATAAAAGTTTTTTTTTCAGTGAAACAGTGCATATCCAAAAAATGTACATAAAATGTTTATAGGGTTCATATGCTTTACCAATTTGTTTTTTAAACTTAGTTTTATATAAAACATCACAGCCAGATTACCCAGTAAAAGCATGCACAGTACAAACAGGAATCAGTGAGGAACACCTTAGAGGAAAACGAGTATGTGACAACAGGAATCAGAGCAAAACGACTCATATTCAAATAAACTATACTAACTACAGAGTAAATGATAATTCTGTTTGCAAAAGAAACTCTTGCCCTTTATCAAAATCAAATGGTCATTACTAAAGTTGTCTGGTATAGACAACACACATGCCAGGACTGGACTCAAAGATCTGCCAATGAATTGTGATGTAGTCAACACACCTGGACCCTATTAACTAAGGTCTGTTATTAATCACAAGTACATTATACCTTGAGCTACATGTATTTAACTAAACTTAACTGTGCGTATTACGATGTGGTTGCTTATTCCACATTGGCTAGAGGTTTAAAGGAGGGTTAAGATCTCACAAAACATGTTTAACCCAGCCGCTAAATTGTTAGTGCCTGTCAGAAGTCAGGAACCTCTGGCCTTTGTTAGTCTTGTATGTTTTTTTTTTCAATTTAGGTTCTTTTAAATGTTTCGGAGTTAAGTGTGACATCCTGTTTCGCTGAACTAGAATACATTATTGTTTAGGGGCTAGTTGGATCCTCTCTCCGGGTGAAGGATTTTATCGCTGTGTTAAAGGTAGATGGGGGGACGGTCGAAATTAAAATCCATAGAATTTTTCAATAATTTGTCAAAATGTAGTTTATATCATGCCTTTTTCAAAAATATTATAAAAAGTATGGGTCACCGGGCTTTTTTTCATGCTACGGGTTGAGAAAAATTTTCAGATTTTGTATAGATTATAAAATTGAGAATGGAAATGGGGAATGTGTCAAAGAGACAACAACCCGACCAAAGAGCATAAAAAGGCCAAAGGCCACCAATGGGTCTTCAATACAGCGAGAAAATCCCGTGCATGTAAAACCCAATTTTTTGTGATAAAAAGAAAACTACACCATAGAATTTAAAGATAAAATATGAGAAGATACAATGTAGCTCTAATAATAAACTCTCAAAATTTGCACATTTCATTTAAAATCTAGACCGATTGTATTCTGCTTTTACAAAATCCAAGATGGAAACAGACACCCGAGCCACCTTATGAACCATTGGTGGCCATGGGCTGTTTTCTGCTATTTGAGGGCAGTAATGTCCTTTACCATCAGTCGTCAAACGATCATTTTCGGCTACCGTTAGCGTCTGATTGGTTAAAATTTTACCGTGATTCGTCAAAATATTCTTATCGCGATTCATCAGAGGTCTCAAATACTTATCGTTATCGTCATTTTTGGAGAGAAAAATTAACGTGATTCGCTAAATGAAGTCGATTTTTTTATCGTCTAAAAGAAAGTACATTTTATCGTCATGCAACAAAAATTACCGTTAACGTCATATGGCAAGAATTTGTACCGTTATTCGTCATGAAGGTACCCCCATTACGACCCTCCTACTTGGTCCGGTTGATGTCTTGACACAAATTCCAATTTACCCCATTCTCAATTTTATATGATTTATAATACATATTCATGGTTGTCACAATTTTTTTCACGAATTAAGCTGATCAGTGAAAATCATTTCCTTTAATCATTTTTTCGCTTTAAAATGATTTTATGGTCGTGAAACACTCTATTGGCTGAAATCATTTGCAGACGATGTAAAATATTCGGCGATTAATCCTCAATAAATGAAGGATCGCTAGATACTTAAAGAAAAAATACTTACATTACAGTATATTTCCTTTGTTTAAAAAATACTCCAAACGTAACACTCGCATATTTCCTGGTCCATTTCTAGTGCTTCATAAGCGACTTAACTGAAGATCGTGTTCTATTATTTTCGATCTGCGTTTCAGTATTCATGAAAAGCAGCCCAAAATTATTTTTTACTGTGTCCTGTGGTTTCGGTATTAATGGAAAGTTTGACAGATGATCAATGTACAAGTCTAAATTTTTATTTTTTTTCCTTTTTTCCGCTGTAAATTTAGATTTATTCCTAACAATTGATTCGTCATCTGTCTTTGATTCTTGATCCCCATTTAGTCTTAATTTTCGGCAAAATTCTTGAATATCCACTGAGAGTGTATCACTGTCGGCTGTAGGTGTCGGAGTATATTTCAGTCCTTTATTCAACACTTTCATTTCATCGGAATCAAATTTGCTATTAGACATGTTAATTATTTTTGGGTCGACCCTGTCACTTGTTTCAGATTGGTTCGGAACGTTCCTCTATTTGGTAGGCGGTTATGTTCCGACCCATACCTAAAATATGAATCCGTTTTGTTCTCCGTTCCACATCGTTCTAGTATACATTCTTATTCTAAGATGGTAGACTTTTATTTCGATTGTTTGGAGTCTGGTTTCTATTAGGTTTCAAGTTAGGCCTTTTGATATTTGGTTTCGAAGTTGGTTTTTTATCCCGATTAGTTAACCACTTCGGAAGAGTCGAACTAGGATGAACGGATCATATAAACCCGAGGGAAAATATAATACAAGCCCAAACGAAAAAATATAAATAAGTCTAAATTGAAAACAACATTCAAACCTATGATTGCGTTGGATAAAAACCGCAATTTTTATACGTGTGCATGTAAAAAAAATTTCTTGGTAGATGGGTCTAGATACAGCACAAACAACATTTTCCAAAAGACCAAAAAAGTGAATAAGTATATATTCACAAAACGCATTTGACTAACAGGTAGAACAACAGATGTATATATATATATCCAATTTAGAGCAAAATAATATTTAACCTCAAAATACCCCTAGCCACTAAAACCATATCCTACAGGTAAAGGATAATGGGTTTTTGTACATGTAAAATTGGTTTTACAATGACATATTTTTAAAATTTTGCGTCTGTTCCAAGTCGAGCAATCAGGATCAAATATTGTTATACATTAATAGACAAAATGTATTAGTTTAACCACATAAACAACAAATACATTATAGTCATGGCTATTAATGACATGTAAAAGATGCAAAAATACTATTAATAAATCAAATAAAAATTTATTTCTGATTATGAGCATATCATTATCAATTAAAAATTCTTATATAAAATCAAAACATACATAACACACAATCTGGGACATAGTCTGTCTCAGATGAAGTATATATATATATATATATATAGATTCTACCACTGCATCGAGTGTGATACGATATTTATCCACTCGATACAGTTAAATTTTCAAATCTAAAACGCGAGGCTCGCCGAGCGTTTTAAATATTTAAAATTCAACTGTCAAGAGTGGATAAATATCGTATTACACGAGATTTGGTGGTCGAATCTCTTTCTCTAATGAATTTTAAACAATATGCAGACAATACAATCCTTCCTTTCAAATGATCTGCAAAAAGATGTGTTCTTTCTATGTTATGTGACGTCGACATGGTCGTCTTTTTTCATGTCGTCACAATAGGAAATTCAGAGGGAAGCAAGAAAATTCGACGTCATAATCGAATTTTGACCAATGAAGAACTGATTAAATAAAAATAATCAACATGTCATGAAAAGAATAAATCGTGTAAAAATTGGAGAAATATACATAAATAGTAGTGTAAAGAAGAGAAGCATGATGCCACCACTATTTCGGAGTTTGCCTACTTTCAATAACATGCCATTTTCCAAAACGAAAGTGCATTTGCAACAATGTAAATTGCAATAATAAATTTTATAAAATTTTGAAATTACAGTTTTCAATTACAACACTCTGTAAATATATTCTTCAAATAAAATAGATTATTTCTAATAATCAAAATTAATTGTTATTCCCAGTTACAACAATAGGTATGACTTACGATATCATTGCGCAACTTCCTGCGCATTTGGCGCGAATGATTTGAACCTGCGAGTACTATGAGATGACTCATCAGTCTCAATTAAAAACAGTTTGAAGGCCACATCAAATACAAAAGGTGGACTATGGTGACATTAATTGATATGTAAAACTATATTTCAAAATATCCATTTCTTGTTTAACATTTATGCAAAAATGTAACTTGTCAAAATACTTTTTATCATATGCATAATCAAGCATGTGATGGATTTTAATTTACGATTTCATACGTTTCAGAGGTATCGCTCAAACCTCTGACTATCTGGTTTATATGATTTTCTGACGGTTGCGTCCTTTTGTCAATGGCAGTAATAGATCCAGATACCGTATTTGTGTAATTGCTTTGAATACTATCACAACCTGAAGTGTGCTGTCTATGAACTCCTTCCGTATCCTCAAGTGATGCATAAGTATGAATCTGGTTCGGATTATTGTCTTCAACAGCAAACATATAAATATCATGACTTAATTTGTTGTCAGGTAATCTAAAAAATAGAAAACATTAACATGATTAATGATTAGATAGTGGTTATAAGGATTTCTCCTGTCATAAGTCAACTATAATTTTTACATGTAGAAATAGTCACGTGTTTCCGCGCTTCCATATTGAGCAAAATGTAATGCGAATATTTCGTTTTGTGCGACAGTTCATTTTGGTGGCCATCTCTGCGGTTAACTGTGTCCACTTCTTTGAATAATTTAATACAACTCTTTTAAATTCAACAATTAAGCCTTAAGGTGCCGGGTGTATATACAACCATATAAATATATGATAAGGAAAGTTTATATAATTTTTAACAAATATCATTATAGATTGGGCAGGTGAGAATCTCCTTTTCAGCTTTTTCGCCAAAAAGCCAAACAAGTCTTGTTGTCATTGGTGAACCTCGCTTTTCGTCGTCTTTCTAAAGCTCGTAAAAAAAAATCATATATTTTACGACAGTGTACATATGTTGCTTATATATTCAATAATTCCTGCTGAAAAAATGACAAATTATGAGAATCATATATATAGGTTTGTGTATATGTAATAATTTTGTTTTTCGAAAACAATTATTGAAAAATGCATTTGGTAAAAATAGATTGCAAATATTTTTTCAGAAGTGTGATTTTAAATGCAAATTATCTTTTAAAAATAAATAATGGATAGCTGGAAAATATTTGTATATCTCACGGAAGGAGAAAAGTCAAATGGATTTTATGACTTCGAAGGAAAAGTTCAATGTGTGATTTTCTTAAGCATAGAATTAAAATATTACTTATGCAACAGTTTAATGATAACAACAGTGACAAGACTGCCTCCAATTATTATAATGACAATTAAAATTCCAACTGTAATCTGCCATGGTACCAAATCATCTTGCTTGTTATAAACAAAGACTGTGTGAACATCATCCACATCTTCAACATTTACCACTAATAGTGTAGATGCTTCTCTAGCGTCGTCCTATGATAAAGGATTTTTTTTTTTATTTCTTATATAGGTAATTGATTAAACTTTAACAAATAAATACTGTAATTGATATGTGCAAAAATAACAAAACATCTACAACCAAATAAATATTTGATAAGGAAAGTTTATATAATTTTTCACAAATATCATTATAGATTGGGCAGATGGGGATTTCCTTTCTAGCTATTTCGCGGGAAAAAAGTACTGTTGTTATAGGTGAATATTATTTAAGAAATCATTGAAAGAAATATTGACTCAAGACATTTATGTTAGAATACCATAATTTTTGTAAAAAGTTGTAATACTTCCCTCAATTCATTTAAAGCAAACATACATTTGTAGGTAACATGCTTTCTAAGGCGACATAATTGGTTCTTCGAGATTAGGTAAAGTAAATGAAGGGGTCTAATTTTCAACGACAAGTAACTTTCTGTGTTGTGTATTGTATACTGTTGATTGTCTTTTGGTCGTTTACTGTTTTGCCATTGCGTTGTCAGTTTGTTTTCGACATATGAGTTTGAAATTTATAACATGTTTTATTTTCATGTTTTGTAGCACTGGATCTTTACCTCTGCTAGTGGACTATCAGTCCGAGAGGGTATCAACAGTTCAGTAGTCAGTATTTCGGTACTGACATGATTTACACTAAGCCTTTTTTATATTGCCTGTTTATAAATATATATATCATAAAGCAACTAAGGTTTCAACTCCCTCAGGCAAAGTTGACCTAAGATGGATTTTGCTATTTTTTAATATCATTTTCCGTCATATAGCTATTCAACTATTTTGTTTCATATTAATCATTGGCTTTCAAATATTCGGCTGTGATCGTTCCCGATGAAGGCAAATCCAGAAAAGCGCTTAGGATGCATGAAATTTAAAACGTGTTGTTTTGATATTTTTTTCCCTCTTTATCATATATGAGAATCACTGGAATGTTCCAATTGTTGTTACCATAATCTCATCTTCTTTTCCGAGATTGTGATATAATCGAATAAGACTTATCACCGGATTTGTACTTGCTTGAGCAAAATGACGTGTGAAGCAGTATCTTCTTACCCTTCCGGAGATCACCCTGGTTTTGTTGGTGTCTTTTTTGGTCTTTTTTTTCATGTTTTGCCATGGAATAGTCTGTTCCTTTTCTACTTTTCAGTTTGGATAGTTCTGCAGAATGTTTTGTAACTCTCTATTAAGGAATCATGATAAGAAACTGAAGCTCTGGGCTATCATATCAAATGGGAGATGTATAATAAACTCATATGCAGGCGCTGCTGGAATATTGATACATAGAAATTTAAAGTTCATAATGGATCTCAAGTTCGATGAGATAGATGCGTGCAACATAATCACCAAACTTTGAATTATGTAATGAGAGGACATCATTTTCAAATCGGAACGCAAAGTTTAAAGAAAATGATTGTCTCTTTTCAATCTTCCTGTATTTAATGTCCTGTATACAATTTGCCTCATAAGAAAAACAGAACAAATCGGCTAGTATAGTACAATTGGTTTATATATATATATATAGGAAAGCCGTTTGTGTTTTGAAAAAGACGTCCTCTAAACGTAACAAATATGTTGTCAATAAAAAAACTTTTTGATTTGATCAGTTTCAAACAATCAGAATAGGTTTGAACAAAGTATTATTTATCCCTTCCTTGAAAACGATATTTGTATCTATGCTGGTAATCCTTTTTTTCATGAAACACATTCTTTTCAATCAGTCTTTTAGTTTAGAAAGCAGAATTTTAAAATAAAGGTTAGAAAAGTCAAATAAATTTATAGCATTGGAAGAGAATAAAGACTCGAATTGTATGAACTCTTAATAAATATAGGGGAATAAAATTGAGAATGGAAATGGGGAATATGTCAAAGAGACAACAATGTATTCACATTTGATTTATACTGTCCCTAGTGTAGGTAGTTTCAAAGTAACTCTTTAGCCTCTCTTTGATTGATGAGTAGTTTGGCAAGATGTTCCATGGACCACTTGCCTGACCAAGCAATATACTGTTTTTAAGAATACTCATATTATTCTGGTATCAGTATAGTAAATAAAGATCTAGTTCCTCAACTTTGGTCGAATTTCAAAAAATAAAACCAGAACACACCTCTGATTGTTCAGCATCTCCTCGTTTGTGAGTATCATAATTATATATTCAGTTACCATAAATTGTCAAAACTCCGTTATCAAACCGTTTATGCAATTTGGTTTATATACAAATAAAATCCTAGTAGCATTTGGGTCTTTGAAGATACCTCTTGCATCAGTTTTAAAAAAAAAGAATTCTGTTTTTTAATTATAAAAGGTATCAGCGACTTCAAAGCCTTAACCCCTTGGAAAGAGTATCTACGTCCACGTTTATTCCATTACCTGGCATAATCCCTGACTGAATCCATAAGTGTTTTAAAGTTGTATGGCAAGCCAAATCTAGGTATGAATAGGGAACTAGCATATGTGCAATGAGGAGATTTAGACTTGAAGTCGTCAATATTAAGCTCCTCGAAGAGGAGTTAATAGTTGAACATTTTTGACGCGTAAGGTTTTATATACTAGCACGTATGAATTATTAAAGTAAAAGACTGATCTCGAAAGAAGGGAGGATTTTTCGATTGAACTGATGATTTATGGTGAATATATCCTACATTAATGGCATGGACACCTAAGTTGGCAAATGAAAATTTTGGAAAGATCGTTTCTCCGTTACATCTTTCCTTATGCCAACCGGTCGGGAAAGTCTGTCACGGGCTATATCCGAGAAAATGATAAGAATTTGTAAAAATGGTTTCCAAACATAAGCGGAATAGAGAATATATTTTGGAAAAGGGTCGTGAATAAAGAATCGAATGAAATTGATGAATACGCAACGGCTCCTATATGGCTCCTATATGAATGGCAGAAGGTCAGTTTTGCAATTATCATGAAGGAATGTATACAGTTGATGATCATGGCTGCATCAACGCATACATTCGGCTATCCATCCATTTCAGATCCGAATTATGTTGACTGTTACAGACTGAAAATTTTATACAACTGATTCCAATCAAACCATGTAGCACAGCGGATGCGCACATTCTGTATAATTCGCGTGTATGACTGAGGATAAATTCATCCGAGATACCAAAGTTGATTTATAATCATAACCATATCATTGATATTTCAATGTACATGTCTAGTGTACTTCTTTCATTTATGAAAGAAGTACCAACATTTCCTATATATATGTTTCCATATCAACAAAGATGTATGAAGTCAACTTTGAAAATACCAAAAAAATATATGTAGGACTCTAAAGTGCGATGGTACTCTAAAGTGCGATGGTCACGCTAAAGTGTGATGGTCTACGCTAAAGTACGATGGTGTCTCACGCTAAAGTGCGATGGTTGTTTGCTTAAGTACGATGGTATATCACGCTAAAATGCAATGGACCAATAGGGTAAGGTTCGAGGGATTAAAACGTTAAAATACATGGATTTTAAACCAAAATAGTCAGTAATTAATTTAATCTTTTTGCAATAGCTAGTATGCTAACATATGTGATAGGCTTTATAATTTACCGGTAGGCTTAAGTGATTGTTTCTAAATTTAGAAGACCGACCACGTAATAATTACTAAAAAGGTAATTTAGGTGTCACAAAATACTGTATTTCCTGTTAAATGAATTTTTAACAATTCGGGCGTATTAAATATTTGGATAATTGGTGTAGCTTGCCGCTCACACAGTCTATCAATAATCTGAGCTTTCTCCTTTTTCGTAACGAGTACAAATACATGTTATATTCTCCTACACTGTACAAACTATGATTTAGCCGACAATTTATAATTTACGCTTAAAAACCATTTACCTTTATATACCTGACGTTACTTTTCAATAAAACCGCAAAATAGACTGCAACGTAAACAATGATTTAAATGTATCCGTTCGCTACCAATAGAAGCAGGATACAGGATACCTATGCGTATACTATTTTGTATCTATATAGTAAAATGGTCGACTGCAGGCCACAAGTCCTTCTTCCAGCACCCGAAAAAAAGACACATTTGCTTCAGCCGACAAAGCACTGTTAGGTCTGAAATTAAGTCATGGACATTTGGTTTAATAGCTGTCAATCAAATATTCTTAATTAATCTTCCGGCATATTCATTTTTGGTTTGTATAAACGACTGTTAACGTCATAATCCAACTACGTTTCTTACGTCTATACTTTCGCGAACCATCGGACTTTAGCGTATGGAGGCATCGCACTTTAGCGCAGACCATCGCACTTTAGCGTGACCATCGTACTTTAGCGTCCCCATCGCACTTTAGAGTCCTACATATATATGCACAGTTTTGGTTAATAAAAGTTTAAATTTGTTGAATATGTTTTTTTCTATATTCTGCATGCATCATCCTGTTATCATTTGCTCCTATCCACGCGCTTTTCAATTTCTTTCCCTTCAACCGGATCTACCCATTTTGTAGAATTTATTGTTACAGATGACCATAAATATGTTCCAATTGTTGATACAACAGCCTGTTCTCCTTCTTTTTGTGACCTCACTCAATTCATCTTATCATTGTATTTTCACTTACCATGAGCACATGTTGGTTACAACTGGTGGATCAGGATCTGATTACCCTTACAAAGCACATGAGATCACACTCGTTTTATGTTGAAATTGATATTGTTTAGTTTTTGGTGTTTTATATGGAGTAAGTAGTAGACAAAAAATTCAAACTTAAATTATTTTACCACACTTCTCTTTATATCTGCCTAGAGGCAGGAAACAAATAACAAAATATATGTTATAAAAATTCATTTTGTACGATTGCCTTCTGTTTACATATACATATCTTTTTACCTTCATATGTGGACTAATCATTATTCTTAATTCTTTTGGTGTCTTTTGTCCTGTTTTGTAATCGAGACTTTGCTTATCGATTTAAGATGCATTTTGGGTTTTCATATATTTTGGCCTTGAGCATCACTGAAGAAACTTTTATTGTCAAAATATGTATCTGGTGCAGTAAACTTGGTAACTTTTATATTATTACCTTAAACGAATAACTAGTTTTCCCGGAATCATAATCTAGCATCTGTCCTCGTATGAGAACAATTCGTTTATCGAAAATCATAAATGGTCCCGAATCATTGCTCTAGAAGAAAGAGAAATAATAGCTACTTCCATGGATGAAACACTTAACCATATTTTTTTTTCTTCAATATACTAAGAAACACATAATCAGTGTTTATGTTTTGTACTAAAACTATTGAGAAACGCATATTTTGTTTTAGTCAATATTGTGTGTGTTCCTTTCGTTATTATTCATACAAATAAATATAGATACAGTTTCAAGGAATTTTCATAAGTATCTGCTTAAAGATGTCTTTATAAATACTGAGTATACTGGAGTTAACAAAATGGTGTAGCTATGTACTGATGCAATTTTTAAAATGAAACTTAATAAGCTCCTGGGCTTGATGGATTAAATGTTGAATTTTATAGAAAATTCTGGGAAGAACTTAAAACTTTTATAGTCGCTACTTTTAATTATTGTTATGAAAAAGGAAAGCTATCTGCGTAATAAATTATAAGCCTGGTACCTTTGATAACTATTAACACCACTGGGTAGATGCCACTGCTGGTGGACGTTTCGTCCCCGAGGGTATCACTAGCCTAGTAGTCACACTTCGGTGTTGACATGAATATCAATTATATGGTCATTTTTATAAATTTACTGTTTGCAAAAGTATTAATTATTCGAAATACTAAGGATTTTCTTATCCCATGCATAGATTACCTTAGCCGTATTTGGCACAACCTTTTGGAATTTAGGGTCCTAAATGCTCTTCAACTTTGTACTTGTTTGGCTTTCTAACTATTTTGATCTGAGCGTCACTGATGAGTCTTATGTAGACGAAACGCGCGTCTGGCGTATTCAATTATAAGCATGGTACCTTTGATAACTATTAACACTCAGAAAGTTGGTTTGATATCCTTAATTTATAGAAATAAAAATGAACCTTTATCACTAGATAATTATAGACCTATTACTCTTTTAAATTATGATTCAAAATTACTTGCTTTATATGCCTTAGCACAAAGATTAAAACCCCTGCTACCAAAGATCATACATACTGACCAAAACGGATATGTCAAAAATAGGTATATTGGTTTTAATATTCGACAAATACAAGATGTTATAGATTACTCTGAAACTTTTAAAATAGATGGGGCAATTTTATTCCTTGACTTTACAAAAGCATTTGACTCATTAGAATGGGACTTCATGTTTGAGACCTTAAAGAAACTTGGCTTTAAAATAATTTTATAAGGTGGGTTCAGACAATGTACTCTGATATTAAAGGATACATTATTAATAATGTGTGGGTTTCTACCGGTTTCAGGGCATCTCGTGGAATCCGACAAGGATGTCCGTTATCATCGTTACTATTTGTTTTAGCTGTAGAAGTTATGGCAATTAAGATGAGGGAAAATAAAAACTTAAAAGGACTAGAAATAAAACTAGACGGTAAAAGCAATACTCTTAAAATTTGCCAATAAGCTGATTATACTACTCTATTTCTTCAATCAAAAAAGGTGTCGCTCTTGCAATTAATTTAATAGAAATTTTTGTTACTTTCTCAGGTTTAAAAACTGAAGGGATATGGCTAGGCCAATTGAAACACTGTCGTGATAAATGTGAAGATATAAATTGATGTACTGCACCTATCAATAGTCTTGGAATCTACTTTGGTTACAATACACAAGAATGTCAAAAATTTAACTTTGAAAAACAACTTTTAAAATGTAAAAAAATAATATCTGATTGGAGTTAAAGAAATCTCACTATTATAGGAAAGATAAATCACTTGTTTTACCAAACCTAACATATATTGCATCAAACACTATAATTCATAAAGAAATGTTGCAAGATTTTAAAACTTTAATATATAATTTTATTTGGAAAGGTAAAAGAGACAAAATAAAAAGATCCACACTTTCAAATGATTTTTTGGAAGGTGGACTAAAGATGACAGACATTGATGCTTACAAAAAATCACTGCATATCAGCTGGATTCTAAAATTAAGCAAAGATAAAAATGATAATTGGACAATCATTCCAAAATTCTATTTCAACAAATTAGGAAGAAATCTTCTTGTATTTAAAATGAATTTAAAGAATATTAAAGACATCGATAAAAATAAGTTACAAAATTTACCAGACTTTTACAAGCAACTAATTAAAGATTGGATTAGTGTAAAAGGAGGTAATACAAAATGTCCCAAAAGTTTTTTTTGAAATTAGAAAACAAGTTTTGTGCGGAAATGATAATATCAGGTTTAACAGAAAATGTTTAAACTTTGATGATTGGATAAAAAGCGATATTATTAATATAAATGATATCATTGATGAACAGGGTAAAATCTCTGAAACTATCATCTTATCTAAACTTAAATATAAACAAAATTGGATAAAGCAAATATATTTGTTAAAAAAAGCAATACCAATGAATTGGAAATCAATTCTTCGTACTGAAGATTCTATTAAAACTAAGGTTAAAGTTGTTAATGACTTGAAAATTATGTACAATACAATAACTCCCTTAATGAGCACAAGAGAACTTTATAAAATGTTCAAACTAAAGGAATGTCGTGAAAAACCAAACGGTTTTCTTATGTGGGAAAAACTATTTGACAAAAAAATTTAATTCTAAGTTCAAAAATAATTTTGTTTTTATTTTTCAATATCTCACTGATAATAGATTGAAAATATTCAGATGGAAACTTATTCACTACATTCTGCCATGTAATGAACTTTTAAAAAAGTGGAAAAATACTGAGGACAATTTATGTAAGCATTGTAAAGAAAAAGATGACTATGAACACTTTTTTGTCAATTGCTCATTTAATACTGACTTTCTAAATATAGTAATGAAACTAATGAACTCCCTTGGTATAGACAAAGACATTATAAGTCTTGAAAATTTAGTAACAGGGTACAAAATTGAAGACCCAGCATACTTTGATATTAATTACATACTAACAAAAATATCCTTTTCAATATATAAAGCATATTATGTCTCAGAAACGAAGACAAAAAAAATAAACATTTTTAAAAAAATTCAGAAAGAAATTTCAGATATTATTGAAATGAACAATTTTAATAATAAATATAACAGTAAGCTAATTCTAAAAACAAATAGATTCATTGAAAAGTATCAAATGAATCAGAATTAAATCTATTTTAGATGTTTAAGAGCCATTAAATATAGCGGGTCCCGGTCAAACCAAAGACTTAGAAATTAATATTTACTGCTTTTCCAATAAACGAAGCATGGTTGGCCCTGAGTCAAAATAATGTGTAAGGGTTTGTTGACTTGTTTTACTGTCTGTGGACAGTAACCATGTGAAAAAGAACGTTGTGTCAGTCTTGTGTAATGCAAGGTAAAATATTCATCTTTAATCATGTTCCTTTCCTGATTTTAGCTTGCCACTTTAACATCTATTCATCAGAAGAATGTATGCTGTTAACAAATTAGCATCCCGTAATTACGCCCGATTTACGCGACAGAAAATCAACAGAAAACCTGATCACCAGAACCGCAACACTCGAAAATGTAATAGAATCATTGCAGAATATAGAATTCGTGTCAAACATACCATGTGTGAACTAAAAATTATAAAGTGCTGGGTACTTTGTTGAGGCACCCAAAACAAAAACAAGTTTTGTAAACAGTAAACAAACCGTATTTGATTAAATAAATCGTTGTGTAAAACCTTGTTTAACTGTTATTTACCAATGTTACCTTGAAATGCTAATTATTTAGTACCTTTTTTCTATTTTTAGAAGAATCCCCTTCATTTTACCTGTCAGAGTCGGTGTCAACAGACGGTACCGCGACTTTCCGAAACTATCTAATACTATCACTCCGTCGTTAATACTGCTGGTGGACTACTGATCTCTAAAGGTAGCCTCTGCACAATATCAAATACTTCTTCCGTGCAGATATGATTAAAACAAACACATGTTTTTGTTTAAAAAATATGAAATTGTACGTAAAGTTATGTTGAACTGTAAAGCATGTTGACTGTAGAATTGTTTAGCTGCTCAGAAAATCTTTTTTTTTTCGCATCTCAAAAACTATATGGCTGTGACTCTAGAAACGTTTGGTTTCGAACTACTAAATGACGTAATAATTTTACAGAAATCTATGAGGTTTTTTTTTCAAATTCAACCTTGCATCATTTGAAAGGAAATTAAAAAAGATGTACTCCTGACTGTTCAGTGTTTAGTACAATTCAGTGGAAGGTCCAAAAATGAAACACAACAAACCAAATTTAAGAATTTCTCTCAATTCAGCAGACTTTCAATAATTGCGGCAAAGATCACGGAAATAAATTGAAACGGAGGTGCTAATTCAAAGTATCATCTCACTATTCGCCTGTTATTCAAAGTTGAAAAAACAACTAATAAAAACATGAAGAAGCTCAAGTAGATAGTCTCAAATGCGTATTTTAAATCGTTTCTTGTCAATGTATGTATCTGTTTATCCCCCTTTTCATAGTGACAGTTAATTTAAATTAATGTTAGTTCAAATATTTATCTATGGGTCATATAAGGTGAAAAAAAGGATTTATTGCTTAAAATATGTTAAAGGACCTTATTCTCACACTTTGAAATGTATAATGAGCTTGTTCACTCAAATATTTATAATGTTTATGAGGATGGATTTTTTACACATTGGTCATTATTTTCAATGACATAAAAGACTTTTCATTCGAAAAAAATTAATACAAGATCAAGATAACCAATTAGATAGAGACGCCTAAATGCTTACATATTTCTGTACTCAGATGCTGTACATAGCAGGCAGATTTGCCTTGACATTACTTATTCTTTAAAACTAACTTTTAAAGAATAAGAGCTCTAATGATTTCATGTGTTGTATAATTAGAGGCATTTCAACATGTGGACATATACATTAATAACATCGAAATCCATAATTTCAAACTACATGCTATTGTATATCAAACCTTTATATGTAGTCGACCTGTGTTAGTACTTGGATAGCAATCTGTCTGATTTAATTGGTCAGAAAAATCAAAGATTGTCACTGGCGATGTATTCTACAATGCAGAGAAGCAAGAACATTTGTATCTGTTGTATTTGTGCTAATTGATGATTTATATCATTATCAGCTGAGTTCTTTAATTTGTTCTTATGTTGTCCTAGTACACCACTGCCTGAGGTAAGTTGGGAAGGGCGCCTGCAAAAATGTTTAACCACGCAACATTCCTTAGTTGCATGTGCCTGGTCAGCAACCTGTAATCCAGTTATTGACTTTTGTAGCTGTATATCATATTTGTTTTTCGGTTATTGTATATTTTTTTACATAAATCAGGCCGTTAGTTTTATCGTTTGAATAGTTTGCATTTGTTATCTCGGGACCTTGTATAGCTAACTATGCGGTATGCGTTTTACTTATTGTTGAAGGTCATACGGTGACCTTTAGTTGTGTATAGCATAAATTCGATGTTTATTGTTAACAAGTGATGCACAGAAAATATTGATAAAGATTAAGATTAGCTGTTTAAACCATATAAATATGATGAATATATTAGAACGGTGTTTTTGTTCTAAAAAATTATATAACATATTTCAGCTATTTTCTAGGAGAAATTACTAGTTATTTATTTTTAACACAATGACTGGATGAAAGGCATTTTTTCAGCTTCACAGAATACAAATAGCAGTTATCTATTCTTCATGCCATGGTTTTAATGATGTCTACGCATGTTCATGTATATACCATGCACCTATGTAAGATCCAGGGCTATTTTGGACAGTCTTTGTATCCAGAACATCCACATTTTACATGAGTTGATTAAATCAATCTAACAGAAATGGAAGATCGTTTTACTGCTTGACAAAAAGGTAAATCATATAATTCTACATATCCTCCTTTCATTGCAGATCATCTTCATACATATTTTTACAATAAAAACAATCATATTTTACCTCACCTTGCCCTTGTATCTAGTATGCAATTAATTATAAATAATTATAGAAAACTTTTTTGTAATTTTAGAAGTATCTGGTGATTTTGTGTGCTTTCGTGCATTCTAAAACGTTTTATATTTCAGTACCCAAAATATGACTGTATATTACCAATGTTACTTTTAAGTAACCACAGAAAAAATTGGTTAAATCGATTTATGTGTCTCAAGTATAACATATCTAATAAAATGCACGTCTAATAACACCTTTTTTTGGTTCAGGTATGTTCTATCCATTTTTACCTCCTTCTTTTTTTGGGGGGTACAAATAACTTTAGAGATCCAGTTTAAAAATTAAAAAAGTACCACATCTTACTGATATTCAAATTTTTTTGATCCACTTTAATAAGGTTTGCAGCATTCTAAGAGAGTCTTGGGCTCCTTTTGCAAAAAAAAATCCTACGATGAAAATTTCTCGTACGTTATTACTTGATATATTTCACTTGACTGGGCGTGGTTTAAGCGGTTCGCTTATCATAGATCAGTCCATCTATAGATAGGTGTTTTGGGAGAAACTCGTTGATTTTCTTGTGTGGAGTTTAAAAACATGTTATAATGACACATTTTGAATATTGTGACTATAACGACAGCAGAAATGAGTTGCAAAATATGCATATCTCGTTATTCTTGGTATACTTTTTTCCTCATTTAATTCCTAATGTTTTTTTGTTTGTTAGTGTAGGGATTATGGGTGCAGGGGATACATTGCAAATGATACTTCGACCTTATTGATTTCCTTTATTGAACAGCAAGAAGAATTTTCTTTAATGGCTTCTACTTGAATGGTCGTCGGTTGTTGCATCTTTGACTCGAAAAACTTTGACACATTGCAACTTTTTCTTTTGACTGAGAGGAAAGTTTCTTCTTGCACTCTGCCATGATTCGTAATACAGAATGCTTTACCCGAGCTAGCAGATGTTCTTAAATATTAAATATAAGAGGCGGTAAAAAATTCACGCGTAAAAATTAAAAATTTCCTTTTTGTTAAAGCTGTATATATATTATGATTATATTCCATTTTTTTATCTATATTTGGAAAGTACTTTTTATATTGATCTCGCACTTAGAAATGTTTTAAACAGAATAATACAATAGACGATACTTTAAAATACTTAGCACATATCAATGCTATAAGTTTTCAACTATTCTATTCTTTCCATATCATACACTCAGTTATTATTCGTTTGGTGACACTGATAGGTGATTACAAATCAATAATACTTATAACGGCATTTATCTTTATCACACACATCTTCAAATAGACTGTCCTTATGCAAATTAAAACATAAGCTCCGCCCGATCAGTTGAAATAACATTGGTAATATACTGAAATGTTTATGACTAATTTGTATTGAGTATTTTTTTTTTTCTTTCCGTAAGATTTTATTCTAAATTGAGTCACTGTTTTATACAAAATCTTCGGATATCAAGTCAATATAACTAGCATATAGAGATTTTATATATATTTTTTTCCCCTGAATTCAACCGTTGAATCTGTCTATAATACGTTCTCACTTAATTCAGTGGCTGTGTACCATCCCAATCAAAATTACCAGGGATTTTGCTAGTACAATAATCAAATCAGTGACCATAAAAAATTCCTGAAATACTCGTTTTACAAATTCACTGTAACAAATAAATCTAATCACTTCATGTCTTTCTGTACTTTTTGCATACTGTAAACCAACTTATTTTCGCGAGCTATTTATTTTCGCGACTTTCGCGAGTACAAAAATAACGCGAATATAAATCGTCGCGAATATGTAAAACTTGGACTTTCCTTATTAAACTACATCAAGTTAATTAGAATATCGCGAAATTATAAAGCCTCGAAGTAAATCTAGAAAGGGTAAAACACGAAATTAAGTATCCGCGAAAATAAGTTGGTTTACAGTAATTGAACATGTTTTCCTACCTCGGTCACATTGACTGTGTAAAGATTCTTGTTAAAATACAGTAAACCATTCGGTAAAGAAACTCGCCTCAGAAACAAAAAGTTTCGAATCTGCAAATAAAATGAAAATCTAAATGTATGCTTTAACCTCGTATTCAATTTTTAAATTATTAAAGTATGATGTTATGCGACTGTCTATTTACAAAGACCAACACATATTTCTTTATTTCTTTTTTTTTTTTATCTTCCCCAAAATTATTCAAGGCATCGATATAAAACAGTAAAATATACTATCTGATACGAACACAATACTCCATTGAAAGAAAGTGCTCATGGCAATGTTAGATTATTGTTTTTTTTTCAAAATTTTACGGACACCAATATGATTGGAAATCTATTTACCGGGCACGCAATAAATTTTCATAAGCAATCTTTTCCTGCGTTCCTCTTGTATCTCAAATCGCCATTTCTCGTTAGACTTTTACTTGTCATGAGCACCACAATGTTTCCCCATTGGTAAAATAGGAACGGTTTATATTTGGTGTTCAATCTCGGTTTAAGAACATTATTATGTCTGATTTTCGTCGACTTATGGTATTTAATTACTCTTTTTCTTCATTTTTTTTAACTTGTCAACAGATATAGTCATCACCAATTTATTGACGTAGGAATACTTTGATCAAGTCTCACAGGATGCATTTTAATTTTAAATTTGTAAAGTTAAATATCTTTGGAACTAAATAGCTTCACATCCTTTTTACGAGAGATAACATTTAAAGATTAGAGCTGACTGATACTTTTAAGGTTGCGATGTAATGCCGTCCCTCAGTTTTCTAACATACATGCAGTTACTTAAAAATGACTGGCAAATTTAACTGTTGCACGCACATATGATCCAAAGTAATATGAATGAGCAATAAATAATCTATGCTCGTCATAAAGGTGTAATTTGCACATTATATTACGTCGATGTACAAGTTCAGGAGATGTTATTAGATCTATTTTATTTATCAAAGTTCAATGAATGTTATATATAACCGGTATTAGATTCTACCTTATTTTTTTCTCATATTTCTATTAATAGTTTGTGTTTTAAATATAGTATATCAAGTACTTTCTTGTTAAATACAATTTGCTAATATTTCTAAATATAAGGTTTGCTGCAACGCAAGGACAAAAAAATAAGGTATAATGCTGAGGGGCTAATAATAATATCATATTCTTTGGATGCTTATTCATAAATTGGAGACATGTAACGAAATCAATTTCTGTATGGTACGGCTGGTGTTAAACGCGAATAAGTTTTCCAAACAGATTGTCTGACTTGAGAATCTATTAAATGTGAACAGACGTGCTTTTCTATACGTCGCTGCAATTTCTGGTATAGATTTGAATAAAGGCAACAGTAGTATATCGCTGTTCAAAAGTCATAAATCGATTAAGCGTATACAAATCCGAGTCACAAACCAAAACCCGAGGGAAACACGTAAACTATAAGAAAAAAACAACGAAATAATTGAAACACTGAATTGCTAAAAAAACAAACGCCAACATACATAGAAACGGACTATTTGATAACAACTGCCATATTCCTGACTTAGATACGGGACATTTTAAGAAAAAAAAGGTGGGTTGAGCCTGGTTTTATAGATTTAAGACATGATTTCAGGCATAGAGGATGTCTGAAGCTAATTTGATTTAAAATTTTAAATCATGGTAAATTTATTGTTTACAACAAATATCTGTGAAATTTGGTATGATGAAGTCCTCTAAGTTCAATTAAATCTAATTATGATTGTAGTTTTTTATTCATCATATAATTCATTATTTTAAATTTTTGTATGGATGGGTTGATAATGCTTTGCTGACTATAAGAAGTGTTTTGCAGACAAATTGCATTGTACATTTATAAAGCATCCGTTGAACAATATGTATTTCAGTGATTATATGAAGTCGATGCAGAAATTAAGATGGCACTGTTTGTTTTGTGTATATTTCTTTTTGTTTAGGTACCTAAAGCTCATATCAAAACACTCTTTTCGAGTATTTTTTCAATTTTTCAATAAATGAATAAGATGGCCACAAAACAAGATCTAAAGAAAAAATTTAAATATATATTCAATAATTAAAGTCTAATACGTTCCACCAATACCTTAACTTGAATCTATGGATGAAACTGATACATCATCAAGATTGGTGTAATAATGGGCATGTTTTTATATATTCATAATTGTGGAAGTATTTTTGTGTTGGTTTGCAATTGAATTTTCAAGATATAATGCCTTTATCTAGCGGTTTATTGATTCACACAAAAACAGTAAATAATATTGTTTCTGACTTTTCGAATACTTAGTTCCATAGTATCGTCAGCTCTGCAAATCACTTTGTGTTTTATGCTCACTATCATAACTATGTATGTGGCTTCACAAACTGAGGTCAATAGTCGGTGTTCCGGTCCTGACATGATTTATAACTATTCTTAAAATTGTCATGCAGTTGATAAATTTAGAAGTGTTTCAGAAAAATAAGGTTCCAACTCCTTCCTTCAAAGTTAACTTTATGTGGATTTGCCTAAGCTTTTTATGTCATTGTTTGTCGCAACTATTCGTCCTGTTTTTCGTTTTTTTTTTTCTCTTTTTGTTTGGCTTGCGCCTACCAGAAAGGTGCTTTGAACGAACCAAATTTAAAAAATGGTTGATGTTCACGCTATCTCTGCCATTTTACAATTGTATTTTGTAGTGATATGCTTGTCATCTAGTTAGACTATATATTGTTGAGAACTTGTTCAGCTCATGCTATCGGAAGGTTTGCATACAATGTGAGCACCTTTGATTCTAAAAGAAAGTTTCTCCTGAAGTGTGAATTACAGTGATACATCATATGTCAAAACAAAGAGTTTATAGGTATGCATCGGATGCTGTATTTGAACAAACATGAACAAAAGGGAATATAAGGTACTAGTATATATGTTCAACCTTATAAAACGTACACTTACCCCATTACAATCGAGTTGACATGAAAAAGATCGTCTTTCCTACAATCAAATGATATAAAATTTCAAATAAAATGATGCAATTATTACAATATGTTGGTTTATCATTAAATTAGCATCTGTCTTTTATGTTCTCTCTCTCTCTCTCTCTCTCTCTCTCTCTCTCTCTCTCTTAAGTTTTGTCTCATTTTATCTTTCATTTTTTAACTGACAATACCTTCAAATGTAATGGTTTGACGTTTAATGGAGTCCTCTATAGCCATACATGTAATACCAAATTATTTTATATCCATTTAGAATTGGGACGTTTTACAGGGATTTTGTGTCGGAAAAATAACTTTGAATAGTTCAACCAACTTTTTGAATGTGTGCATGTGGTGTTTTTGATTATGTGGTGGTCTCAATCAGCCAAATAGCTTCCAAAATATGACATCTATTGTGGCATTATCATCAATTCTTGTTAAGCCCTCGTCATACCAAACTCGTTCTCACTAATAGTATATTCTTGTAAATGTATTCAGACGGTCTTAAACTAAGAGGGAGTAGACTTTTTACGGTCTGTGTACGAATTTGATCGGCTTTGATCGGGAATGGTTCTCCAGAAACTTAAGCTGGGGTCACACATTCACGATTTTACTGCCGTCCTTGACAGGACCATTCCCGATTAAAAATTGTTAAAAGTCTGATCAAAATCCTGTGAATCGTGGCTGGAAATTCAAACTTTAAAATTTGTAAAAACATTAATTGAATCACGACAACAATAAGATATTGTTCAGGAAGCGTCCAAATTCAGCCGTTTCGCACCGATTATCCCGTTCTCAAATCGATTATAATCCGATTTGTATCTTTCGCATGGTACAAAACGACAGAATTTGTCCTGAAAGCGTCCCGATTGTACAGAATGTGATAGAACAGAGATCAGACAGTAACCAGACAGTGAATCGACGCTGACGGAAGATATTCGTTAGAAAACTGTCGCCATATTCGGGATGATAAGGTACTGTCGGAACGCAATCCTATCACAGTATGTTGTTCCGCATTGCACACGCATTGCACACGGCTTTGTCTGAACTCAGTCGTATTGTGTTCTGTAATTGTCGGGACTCAATTGACTTGGGTATCATTACCGAATTTTGTATTAATAACGGGACTACTAGTATTCCGGAATGGTTTCGACAAAGACGGTTCGTATTCGGCAAGATCTGGATGCAATCTGGACTCAATCGGCAAAAAAAACAGCAATGACAAATTTCTCCAGATCATGCACGCTCCAGAGGACAACGTCCAGAAAACACGGAACATTGTTACGATTTTAATCCGATACATCAGAATCTGTCACCACAATGTCACGATTTCAATCCGGCTAGACAAAATCGGCTGTGTTTCCCCGAATGTTACGGGACGCAACTAACTGTCGGGGTCCTTGGCCGATCTCTCAAGACCATTCCCGATCCGTATGAATCTGATACGAACGTATACGACTTCGTTAAGAAAATGTTAGGACATTCCAGATCAATGAGGATAGTAATCCGACATTTTAACTTTTCGTGTCTTAGCGCTGTCTGATCTCAAACGGGAGACATAATCGGCACTGTGTGAACGCCGCATTAAGCCTGTTGAAGATTTCCTGGTGACCATCCGGTCTTCGAATTAGACAGAGAGGCACGTACTTAAAACAAGATGGACGTACTACGAACTGAATTGCCGTACTTGGAACGTACTAGGGACTTAGTTTGACGTGATGTGGTCAGGTATCCAATTGATGTACGTGTGCACACCGACGATCAAAACAAAAATAAATAGTAAACAGCACGTTTTTATTCAGTTTTAAATAAAGACAACAGTAAATCACGTTTAAAATAAATCTCACATTCAGAAAGCTTTCAAACAAAATATTCCAATAGCCGATACTTTAAAACACTATGTTTTAACACATACAAATGCTATAAATCTTAAACTATTTTATTCTTCCCATACCGTACACTCAGTTCTTTTGTATATCTGTTTGGTGACACTGATAGGTGATTAGAAATCAGTAATAATAATCATAACGGCAACCATCCTTAACACACACATCTTCAAATAGACTGTCCTAAGATGAACGTAAGCTCCGCCCGATCAGCTGAAAACATATTAGTAATACCACTGTGTGCCCACTGTTCAAAAGTCTTAAATCGATTGAAAGAAAACAAATCCGGGTTTGCAGTAGGTTCTCAGTACGCTCTACTCATTTGATATTAAAAAAAGATATGTGGTATCATTGCCAATGAGACAAATATCCACCAAGGTTCAAATAAAGTGGATGTGAGCAATTATAGGCAACCGTACGGCCGTCAACAATGACAAAAAAATAGTAGGCTATAAAAAGCCTTGACATAAAAAATGATAAAAAAATTCAACGGAGAAAACTAACAGCCAAATTTATCACAAAAAAAAATTACGGAAACCAAATACGACAGACGTGAACAAACGACAACCACTGAACTACAGGCACATAAAGGACGAGGCGGGGTTAAACATGTTTGTGAGCGCTCAACCCCCTGTCCTAACCCGGAACAGTGGTGTTAGAGCACAACATAAGAATAAACTATAACAATCAGTTCACATCATCAGATCGATACAAAAAAAAAACATTTAACAAAAACACAGACAATACAGGACATGGCGGGTATATTTCCATCCCTCATCCTTAACAATAAAAGGGCACTAAGTACAGATCTGAGAGCACCCACAGTTACTGACAGCTTGAATAGTTCAGTGCCAATAACAACTAATAAAAAAAATCATGTATGTAAGACTAGCATACCAATCAGTACACATCCAACATCCAATCGGTTTAGTGTAAAGACGTCATTATCAGTTAGAGAAAAAATGACCTTGTGCAATGCCAAAATATAGGTATCGACAGCTTATACATGTAGTACCGTGAAGGTACATAAGTGTAATATTCAGTATGGTTTTTAATTTACTGATAACAAAATCAATATTTATACCAATAGAAACAATATTAAAAGATTTAATTACAGTGTTGCATAGGTAACCTTTTAGAATGATTATTAAAAAAGAAGATGTAGTATGATTGCCAATGAGACAACTCTTTGCAAGAGATCAAATGACACAGAAATTAACAACTACTAGTATAGGTCAATGTGTGGCCTTCAACAATGAGCAAAGCCCATACCGCATAGTCAGCTATAAAAGGCCCCGGAATAACAAATGTAAAACAATTCAAACGAGAAAACTAACGGACTAATTTATGTACACAAAAAATGAATTAATAACAAATATGTAATATGTAACACAGCAACAAACGATAACCACTGAATTAAAGGCTCCTGATACTGGACAGGCACATACATACAGAATTATTACAGAGTTACATTAAAGTTTATTTAAATGATTTATAAGTGTATCCGGGCTCGGTTAACTGCATCACCGTAAAATTTGGATGTGCCCTTCCGTTTGAAATCAGTTTTTCTAGGTACATTGAGTACGTTTATTAAGTTCTTATGCTGTTTTTAACGCGTTCATTTTCAGAACTGCTTCACATAATAAACGTCGGAGCTCTGAGGGGACTGGGAGTAGCTTCAGTGAACTTGATCACAGTTCTAATTTGTATAAATGGGAAATGATATACAAACTGTATAAACATATTTATTTTCATGCTGTCCTTCAACTTATAACATTGAAGACAAATATCACCATAGTATCATATGTATCAAACTGAATATCAGACAATTATTAAAGCATGTCTCCATATACAATATCATCATCTAAAAACACAAGTTATAAAACTACCATCAAAACTGAAAGATATATAAAAAGAGAAGAACGAGAAAACGTAAACGTGCTGGTTTTTCATAGTCATCGGGTCAGGACGTGATGAAAATTATGTTCTGAATAAACTAGGAACGAGATTAGGAGACATTGAACGAGGTGATCGAGTTAGGAACTAGTCAGAACAGACTTCGATGTATGCGGAACGAAATCGAACTCGTAACGAACCTGTTAAACGGACTACAGACGAACTGGGATTGTTTAGAAACTGCCCTACCTCCCCAAGGTACACATGCAATTTTACCCGATCATAACTGGATATAAACGGACTGCAGACGGGAGAAAGACAGCGGGCCGTATAGAGAACTGTTAAAGAATTAACTAGGGTCGCATTATAAACATTGTTCGTCCAAAGATATACGTTCTAGCCAGACCACAGCCCGTTTTACGTATTTGTAACGTTTTGAGAACTAATTTGGTGTGACTGAAGATTTACCTATTTTATATAGATTACAGCGGCATTAATGCTTAATATATCAAGTGTAACATTACTTGGGTGTATGTATGTGTGTGATGTCACATAATTTATCCTCATATATTGACTCATTCGGAAGATGAAAATAGCACTACATGTTGTATGAGTCCGACGCGCTTTTCTGTGTTCAATTTTATCAGGAACGCTAAAAAGACAAAACTTTGAACGCAAAGGATGTTTACGACCAAAAATATGTGAAAAGCTATATCACCCAGAAGGACCTTTTTAAATTATTTCGAAAAATAGAGGCGAAAAATACCGGAGGGACAGTCAAACTCAAAAGTCGAAAAATAAACTGACAACGACATGGCTAAACAAGAGGAAGACAAACAGACAAACAATAGTACACAAAACACAACATAAAAAACTAAAGAAATTAGTCAACACGATAGTGTATATAATGTTAAGATGGTATATTATTTGCCTGGCGACATACACGAAGAATGCGGCCTATTAAGAGTTGTAATAGAGTCAATAAGTGAATAGGTATATTGAAACTAAGTGGAAGAGACAAACGAAATCAATCAACAGATTCACTTATGTAAAGTTTTAAAACAAATATGCTTAAAGCAATTGTAGATGAGAGCATTTTAACTAGTTGATTTATTTCAAATCAAATAAACAAGTAGCTATGTTTCATTATGGGAACTATTTAGCTATTATTAAAACGATTGAAATCAATCTATAATCCTAAACAGCTGTGAAAACTAATTTAGATATTTGGATTGATTAGCATCTGATTTTATCTAATAGTTTTCCTTCGATTATACTTTCAATCAGACTTTTGTTCCATTTATGTTGTAGTAAATGCGTAACGACACGGTTGGCTAAACCTATACTTAAAGATTCGGGTTCGTAACTTTGCATGGGAATGGAACAGCATTTAAGATGGTTATAAAAAAGGACACTTATATAAGTACTCTAACGATTAACCTAACACTAGATATGAGCCTACACTAAACGCAAAACAACTTGATATAAGAAGATGTGGTATGAGTGCCAATGAGACAACTCTCCATACAAGTCACATTGTGTAAAAGTAAACCATTATAGGTCAAAGTACGGTCTTCAACACGAAACCTTGGCTCACACCGGACAGCACGCTATAAAATGCCCAAATAATTACTAGACAGTATAAAACCATTCAAACAGGAACACCAACGGTCTAATCTATAAAAAACGAGAAACACTTATGAACCACATCAACGACAACTACTAAACATCAGGATTTTGATATTGCACTTGGTGCGTTTAAAAAAACTTTCATTACACGTTTTGAAACTGTTTGAAAGGAAATCTAATATAAAACTATTATTAACATGTATTAAAGCTGTCGGAGACCCGTTTACAATATCAAATGAAACCTACATCTTAATTCAAATTTACAGGAAATTGGATCAGGTCTAAGGAACGACCATTATACACTTCAATAGTGTCAGCCTGATTGAAACCAGTCCAACTATCCACTTGCCTCTGAAATATATCCCGTATAATCTACAAGCCATTAGTAAATACTAGTACTTAGATGATTCGAGACCCGGTTTTAAATACTTGATTTTGCACAGTTATTTTACTCTTAGCTATTGTATACAATTAGTCTAAGAGATATTTGCAAGTGTGTTAAAAGCATTTTACTACATTGCATACTAACTGCAGTTTAAGTGAGTTTTTATAGTGTCGTATGATACTATTTGCATGTCGTCTAATTGTATCATTGTTGCCTCTGTTTTCTTTATCAATGTTCATAACTTGCTCTTTGTTAAAGGAAATAGTCAAATCTTACACAGTTTTCCTTTAAGTTACTTGTGTCATATAGTTTTACTCCTTCTAATCTTAAATCATTAATGCAGGCAAATGAAGTTTGATCAAACCTTAGAGAACCATTCAGTAAATCAGAATATTCGAATATTGGAATGTCTGAAATAAAATAAAAAGGCAGTAAGACTTGTATCAATAACGCATGCGAGGTTGCAAATTGTAAGAATCAATTAGTTCATCGTCACATGTTTGATTTCATTTGTTACAAAAACTGCGAAATATAGGCGAATGCGCGTCTTATTTTTACGTGAATGTTCACATTTTTCTTTGCCGATGAAAGATTAATTTTCAGAGGAATCAAACAGAAAACACCAACGCCTTATGTTCTAATGGTTCTTGCAGATTAAACACCAGTTTCTGATCATTAAACTTATGTACCTTAGTTAATGTAAGTTACTACTATTCGCTATAATGAAATTTCTATTTGGTATTGCTGCTTCTGAAGCAAAGCTATTTCACCAGTATCCTATTGTATTGTCCCAATTGCTCATTTCCTCTGAAAGCCGTGATGTACAGAACACTAATTAATACTGAACAGACGTATAAGAGAGGCAGAAGATACCAAAGGGACATTCTAACTTATAAGTCGAAACTAAATTGACATTGCCATGGCAAAATAAGAAAAAAAACAAAAGACAAACACCAGTATATAAAAAAAGACATAGAAAACTAAACACCCATTAAACTTGGGGTGAGCTCAAGTGCTCAGGAAGGCCAAGTATTTTTACTGGATGTTCTTATTTTCGTTAGATTTACAAAATGTATATGATCACTTAAACTGTATAAGATTTTCTATAAATTTCTCAGATTATAATTCGTAACCAAAAAATAATTATGGTTAATTAGAATATTTCTATCATATGGTATAGGTTAATAATACAGTATTAAACTTACAATACGGTTTTCAGCAATAAGTCAGATTTGTCCACTTAACGGACAGTCCTCCATGACACAGTAGTTAATCTTATGTGTATGTGTTATGTGCTTAAAAAACATGTTATCCATAAAAACTGAATTATGTAGGGAAAACAAAAAGATGGTGGAATTAGCTTATAAATTGTCCTTCCCCTCGTTGGAAGCAGAACAGTTTAAAAGGTTGTTTATGTGTAAATTAAAATCAATTATTAATTGTTAAATTTGTTTGTCCTTCATTTTGTATAACCGTTTATTTTCAAGCTAAAAACCAACGACTATTTTGATAAATTGATTAAAACATATATACATGTGTATGCAACTTTTCCCTTAGTTTTTTGGGATTCTATAATACTGAATTAGCAAAACAGATGTGTATCTGTTTGCAGGTAATAATGAATGATCGCGTACAATCCAAATCCGCTATGAATTTATGATGTATAATGTATATATCGATGTAGCCCGTGTTTGCCTAAATGGATTTATTTTATTTATATTACTCTATGGCTTTGATGTGAAGAGGTCATCAGGTTGCAAAGAATTCCGCTGCCAGGGGTCGTCTTACACTTGCAGTGAAGTGAGAGTGTTTGCTACATATTGTTCTTGAAGGCCTCACTGTCACTTGGAGATAAAGAACAGCAATATAAAAACGCTGCTCCTCTGCCTTTTTTATGGACTGATTATATGTCATGGATGGATACCTCATGTTCTCTTCTTTTCTATAATACCTTACCTGTTGTAATGTTGTCGTAGAATATGGCTGTGACGTCATTAAACACCGATCCATTCAAACAATAGTCATCTGCAGAACAAATAATGAGTGTTATTTACAAATGAATCTTCATAACAAATAGTTATACCGCTACACTCGGGTTATCAGGGAGTTGACATTGAGACATTTTCACTTACAAAATCTCTCTAGAGGTACCAAATAACGATTTTCGGGTACTGCTCTCTTTCCGTGCTTTTGGGGCTAAATCATCTGTTTGACTCAACCATGGATTGAACCCGCAACCTCCCATTCTAGAAACAAAACAACTGAGGCGGATACAATGTCCATAAAGCGGACTTCTCCTTTGAGACGTACAATGAGTCGATTGTACACATAATTGAGAGTTATCAGATTTTTATTTTCTTCTAACGTTTATCTAATGGCCAGACACTATTGATACGAAAAGAGGGTGTAATTTTGATTGATTTTTTTTTTCCTCCCCCAGTTGCTTAATTTCTGATCAGCGAGGAGGCATTCTGAAGAGAAAATTCACCCAGTCTAAAAAAAACTATGATTTAATGTATTGCTTATCTAGACATTCAGAATTCATGTACTTACTGTTCTCTACAACTTGAATCACTACTATGGACCAGAATACAAAGAAACCGTAACCATGTGCATAGCTAATTCTTTTTTCCTAACAAAGAAACAAAATAATATAAAAAAAAAACACAGCATGAATGGTTTTCATCTATGACAAATATCAATTCAAAATCTTATAGTAAGGTAGAATTTGGCTGATAACAAATCATGGTCAGGCTCAAACCAATGAAATATTAGCGGATAATACCTCCTATGTTTTTGTTTACTCTATAAACCATAATATTTCAACCCCAATTTTTTATTTCCCTCTCAATTACATATTCCCCACGTCGCTTTTTATTCACATTGATAACGCAGAATAAACACAAACTCATACAAATGACTATGGTGGAAAAAAAATCATTATTCAATATCAAGCCATGCAGTTATATTATAATCATAAATATTGTCCTTGATAAAAACCGCTACAAAAATTAAAACAAACAAACAAAAAACAAAATGAGAACTTTATAGATGTATCATTTCACTATCCAAGACAAAATCCATTTTCCTTCAAGGTTAACATCTATACGGGTGATTGGTAACAATGGTGTTTCTTTACTACGGGCTCTGTAAAGTGACATGCGTTTCTCGTAGTACGTAGGCAGTTCAGCGATGACATCATCATGATCTGGCCATATGCTCTAAGCTGCGTAACTTGGCCCTTTTCCCCTCGTAAATTGTTGGTATTGGTGTGGTTTCTTTCATACAGCGTTCTCTCATTATATTCAGTACTGCCTCAGCTTTGACCCTGATAGTACTTGCTGGGTGAGAATGGTCGTTTGCATTTTTGGTGACGGCGTCGTAATATATTTATTATCATACTTGACTTATTTCTTCAACAAATTGATAAACAAAATATCATTTTTTTACTTTTTAAGATATAAATGTTATTCAAATTGATAAATATTTTAATAAAAGATAAAAATCGGCAAAAAAATACGAAATTATTTTTTTTTACTTACATTGATATTTCTATTTTGCTGAATTTGCTTATTATTTAACATTTATTATCAAAAAAATTATTAATTTAATTTATATTATAAATCATAAACAGGTTTCACTATACCTACCCCAAAACAACAATTTTAACTGTTAAATAAATACCAAGCCCATCTATTGTTTGAAACTTGTTGGATAAACGTGAGTTGGATTTTCAAATGTTGGAGAATCGTGACTAAACCATTTCCTTTGTGTCATTATAGTATACATTATGATAATGACACAAGGAAATAAACTAGCTGAAATCTTTTTTCCCACTTATGATTAAGCTAAAAAAATATTTGATTTATTATCTATTATATTTTTAAATTTCATTTAAAGAAAAAACCCACTCTAAAATGTTTGTCTCGCCAAGAATGCTAATACGGCGATGGCGTACGTGTTCGTTCTTTGCATATAGCTTCATATTTCAGAAGATATAATATTATCTACCAATATATCTGGTATACCCTACATGATCTGGGGTTTCCGTCTGGAATATGTCCGTTGTTCATGGTCTTATTTTCATGGTTCAATAATGTTAGAGATAACAAAAACTATATTTAGTATAACTTTACTTTTTAAGTTAATCAGAGTAATAGAGCATACCAGGACAGCTTTAATTGGTATAAAGATGCATTGCAATATGTACTCGTCAGGCAGGATTACCTTATCTTTTCACGTGTTTGTTCAAGTCTCTGTCTAATAATGTATTCTCCTGTCTTTTTTGGAGCCAAAATAACAAGATTTTTTTAATAAATCAGATAAACATATTTGTCTAAATTTAACAACAGATTGCCGTCTCTGCGTCCAAAGATAAAAGGGATCAAGTATGCACTCGCATCATTTCAATGAAAAAGCATAGAATACTCACCATTTTGAAATGATATAAAAATCAACCGACAAATTTCTAACAGACTGTTATTGAATCCATTCAAATAATTATTTCATCGATTTGTCTTCCTAAATGCAACAAAAAGTAATATATTTTTTTAAAAACCTCTAATATGTTAACAACGTCAGGTGATAAAGCCTATATTTGTAACAATTTATGACTTTAAAACATACACTAGTATTTAACAAATCAAATATACTGTAGATAGGGGGTTATATATCAATATTTCAAAATCCTAAACTGGACCATGTATTCTTTGTTGTTTACGGTCGTCTTTGATTTTACAAATGTTTCATCTTATTGTAAGGAGGAGTCGAGAATGTTTAGATATAAAAAAGAAGATGTGGTATGACTGCCAATGAGACAACTCTCCACAATAGACCAAATGACACAGAAATTAACAAATATAGGTCACCGTACGGCCTTCAACAATGAGCAAAGCCCATACCGCATAGTCAGCTATAAAAGGCCCCTAGAGGTGGTTATTGGTGAGGCCTGTATTATAATAATCAGTTGATGGCGAATCTTATGGATGTTTGATGTGTTTGATTTGTTTGAGCTTTTGATTTTGCCATTTGATTAGGGACGTTCCGTTTTAAATTTTTCTCGGATTTCGGTATTTTTGTTATTTTACCTTTTATATCCGTTGAGGCAAATACATTGGAAAAAAATTCTTATTATTTATCATCTTACTAAACATTTAAGGTTGCTATACGATATATATAAGCATGTAAAGTGGTAAATCTTTTCCCCTAATTATTGTCTTTGTTTAATTTCGAGTTTTTGTGTTCCAGCAGATTTAACTAGAAATTAAAATACATTATTTATCAGAGGACTGGCGGGAGATACGAAAGGGATATTCAAACTCATAAGTCGATAACAAACTGACAAAGTCGTATTAACAAACTAAAAACGACTAAAAGACAAAACAACAGTATACTTTAACAAAACAAAGAAAACTAAATACTGGGCAACACAAACCAACCAAAAGGCCGGGGTGATCTCACGAGCTCTGGAGCGGTAAACAGATCCTGTTCCACATGTGGCAGCCGTCGTGTTGGTCATGTAAGTACAAACTCGGTGGTAAGTCTAAATCGGTTATGTCACATTTGAGGAAAAGAGGACAGGAGTGTGGTTACGACAAATTGAACATATCTGTCGTCATCTGCGAAACAGGTATTCCATAACGGTCAACCAAACTTTCGAAGGTATGACTTCATCTTCACGAATTGGAACCCTGAGTTCAATAGCTTCCTTGTAAGCAGCAACTCTTTAACAATTAAGAAAATGCAAGTTCTAAAATTTAGTATCCACTTGGCGATATGAACTCCATATGCAGGCACCGCGCTGCTAGAATGTTGCTACATAGAAATGAAAAATTTACAATATGAAAGCTGAAATCCTCTATATTTTAAAATTATTTTCATAAAGTTTTGTTCTCAATTGACACTCATTATCAATTTTTAAATGTAATTCAAGGTATGAGGCAGCCTCAACTATATCTGGTGTACCCTTTATTGCAAATTATATGGGATAGATGCGTTCAACATATAGTAAACCAACTATTAATCATTTAGTGAGAGCACAATCATAATCTACAGATCAGAAAATTAAAGGATCATTTATTTAGATAGCTTCTTTATATTCTTCCTATTAAGCTCCTGTGTAAACTTGTAAATTCTACCTCGGAAGAATAAAGGAACAAGCCGTCAAGGAGGAGAACACAATAAGTACCCATTGGAAAGCCGATTGTCTTATTAAAACACGCTCCTCTAAACATAAAAAAATGTGTTGTCAATCAAGAAATTTAGCAACTAGATGATGTCAGTTTCAGAGTAATTTTTATTTAATCAGATCAATTGTTTTTTTTTCTTACAAAGTATGAGTTGTACCTCCCTTAGACAAGCCGTAAGGCTCAAGTTGAGGTTGGTCAATTTCAAACTATTCAGAGAAATAAGAGATTTGAAAAAATGCTGTCAAGTTGAAGATAAGATACATTTCCTGTGTTTATGTAAAAAAATATTTGGATCTGATATTTGTTTCTCTTTAATTTGATAATTAGAGGATTACTCAGTGCCATCGTGAAAGAGTGAAATTTATCGTTTCAATATTTTTCTCTTATTTATGTTCAATGTCATGAAAATAATACTATTTTTTTTTATTTTTGACATTTTTTTGGTCTGAATCGTAGCTATATATATAATTCCCCCGGTTTAATTATTTTTACAAAGATATAAAAATTAACAATTAAATCACATGTATTACGAAAAAAGCGACGACAAAAAAAAATCAGAAAATGATTTATATTATCTATATAATGTGATACAAAAAGCAGTAACATAAGCCATCTCATACAATTTGTAAAACAAACTTACATGATTTCACTAAACACGGAAATTAAAGCTTTTCCATAACCGAAGCTGGTTTAATATTAATTCTTAGTCATTATCACTGTCGTGTTTTTTTACACAAACAAATACGAATGCATTAAAAAATTCTATTGAACGTTGAAGAAAAGTACCGTATATACGATTTTGTTTGTGTTTTGCAAATCGGAAGTTTTTAGCTTATAGACCATACTGCCGCTGCTTCATTAACTGTTAGGTATATTGGTTTATGAACTCACAATCTTTAGAACTTTTTGATTTTAAGATTACCTATAACGTTAATGACAGTAAAATGGTTTATGGTTCATCAAAAATTATCTGTAAGGTTCATAAATAATATAACAACTTGGATATACAGATACACAATTTGTTCGACCACAGTACCATTTCATCCATAGTCGTTTCGGCCTCTTCATTTCATAATGTTCTTATATTGCAGCCCTACCCTATGATTATGATATTTTATGACATAGATTCCTATTTTATAAATATAATTTCACAACTACAACTACTGACATGTAATAATATGAGGCAGGTGTTACCTGTGAAAGGGGACGAAGTCAGAAAATCTTTAGAATACTTTACAATATCCTGTTTACACCAAATTTATATATAGAAACAGATATTGCAATTCCTAGCATAATTTCTGGTGAGAAAGTAACTGAATTTAATTAAAAACATGATTTATACATTATAAAAGAAACATATATTATACATATGATTAGAAGTATTATATGTCTCAGCAATACACATTTCACATGATCATACATGTGAACCTCCCGACGGGAGTACAATAATCCCGTTTTCAGGGGTATCCTCCTGACCTCCTGTTGAAGACAAAAAAATCCTGTGTATGAAATATTTCATGAATGAAAAATTTCAGCTCAACATATCTGGTGTAACTGACATTACCTGAAGTTATATTTTACCTGTAAATCAATTAACATGCATAATTATATGGCTTCACTTGTCACCTTGGGTGTCAAACATACTGGTAATCAACGATTTTTACCTCAGGCTAACTGCTGTTGTGTAATAAAACTTTGTGTATTTAGAATGAATGTTGGGTTACTTCCCTTGATTTATCCTGTTTTAAGTTACTTTCCTTTAAATAATGTAAATTTTTAAAAGAATATAAATAAAAAATAAATTGAACAATGATCATAAAAGGATGGCAATTAAATGATTTTAAATGTCTTAGGACAAATAAAAAAATATTAATTTGAAAATTATTTGAAGGTTCTATACTTCCTTTCAAGGCTTAAATTGAAATTTATATAATAACTATGACCCATGACTACAGTTTGAATGTGTTACTTATCATGCATTAAAAATCTACTTGCATAAAGATAAAAATAAAAGATCTAATGAAAAATAGATAAGCAAGTGTTCTGATTGCAATGAATAATGGTAAAAAAGATATGACCTACAAAATTTAAAGAACATACTAAACAATGCTAAAAAAGAAGAATGTTAGATTGAACAAGTTGAAAGTTTAAAAAGATAGAGAAAATTTATAAGTAAAAGGGTACTATAAACATAATACATTCGGATGGAAAGTTGAAGAAAACACACTTTAACAGACAATTTCTACAGCACACGGTTACATTTACGACAGAATTTATGTCGATTTAAAACCTCCTGATTTGAGTCCTAATCTCCTGACCAAAATTTCCCAAACTCCTGATCTTAGTTTCACAGTCCATCACATGTATGCATGATAGGGAAAAAAGCAAAAAAAACTTAGTAAAATGTCAATTTAAACTATTTTCACTTTGTTATTAGATAATTGTTTAATATACTGCATATATGTAAATTGATATATTTATTGGAAAAAAATGAAAGGATTACACCCTTTTGTTACATCAGAATTACTGACTAAACCATGTTCTTGCACACATTGATAACCACTGGAAAAGAACTGCTTGTAACACACAACACAAGAATATGACATGTATCTAGCTCCTCTGCAGATTACTGTGCATCAGTACCCTTACAATGTATGTACAACAATCATCAGTTCTGCTACATGTATGTGCTCAAACACTTTCAATGTAAGCCTAAAGAGGTTAAATTCTCAAACTGCATTGTTACATCTGAGATTCCTTTAACCATGTTCACTGATCATGCTGATATAGTAATCTCAGTTTACATGGAATGTGTGGAAGGTGATACTTTAGAATCTGCATGCAGGATATGTCAACACTCTTCCAACAATATTATAGACAATTACATTATTGAGGTTGAGGGCTGCAACTAGTTAAAATTTGAACGAATCATCATTGTTCTCTCCAGAATTTTCAAATAGCACCATGGAAATTAACATAGCACTGGTTTTCCAAAAAATAAAACACAATGGCCCCTACACATTCTATTATGAAATCATCCAAGATAGCACCAGGGTACCATTTAAGGCCCCGGGGAGAACACTCAGAGACCAAATGATGTAAAACATGTAAAAGTTAACAACAATAGGTCACTATACGCCTTCAACAATGAGCAAATATAATCATGCTAATAGGGCATAGTAAGCTATAAAGTGCCCAGAAATGACAAATGTAAAACAATTCAATTGAGCTAACAGCCTGATTTATGTACAAAACAATAAACGAAAAACATACATTGTACATGATATACAACAACAAACAACAACCACTGAATACATGTAACAAACATTTGACAAATGTCTTAATGGAAGCATGGCTGTTGTTGTCATAGAACTCTATAAATCTTATGAACTTGGAAGTTGGTAACATGGTAAACCTTCGTAAATTCATATTCAAACACTTTTTATTAAGTAATCTATACATTTGTACTTATTTTTATTTACAAAGTCATCAACATTATTTACAGGGTCATACTGGTATACATGGCCAAGAATGATTTAAAATTCTCATCCAATCAAAAAGATCAGGAAATTTCAAGATTCTTTGAAAACAATTAAAATTACAAATAGGTAATAAATTAAACAAAACAAAACTCCTTAAATTTGCATGTACAATCCATGTTCAAAACTGTGTTTGTATTTCAATATCATGTAATGATTGCTTTCCGTTTGTTGTTTAGACAGTGAACTATGTCTTCACCAGAAGTAGAAAGATTTGAGGTTACAGAAGATGATTTGGCAAATGAATTCTATCCAAGAATGGGAAGGAGACAGACCAAAAACCAGGCCATATATGGTATGTTAAATATGAGACAGAATTTGTTATAAAGTCAATTTATTATTCATAACATCAAGGGAGATAATACAAATATTGTAAATCATTGTTTTTATTTTGATGTCAAAGCTATACATGGAAGACATGTATAATGTATTTAATCATTGAATAAATTGAAAATGTAGCTAAATGGTAGAATTTACATAACTGTATCATTGAGTTGGTAGTGTTCAATTTGCTTCACTAACACAGCAACTTAATGCTCTAAGTTGGATTGGTAGAATATGTAACTGAATTCATCATGCTGAAATGGTACAGACACTGGGACCAAATTTTTTGGTAAACATTTTTGTGTAAGTTTTATATTCAATGAAATAAACAATTGATATTAACTCAATTTAATTACTTTACCACTGTTTACAATTGTTACTTATTTTAATTTATTTATTTGAACCTGCATTATGTTTTATATTCAATTAAATTAACAATTGATATTAACTCTTTTTAATTAATTTACAGTTGATACTTATATATTATTTTAATTTATTTATTTGTTACTGTATTATATTTTCAGGAATGTGGGCTGACAATGACAGTGACGATGAACGTCCTGGATTTGGAAAACCAAACAGACGTAATAAAGACATGACAGCCCCTATAGGCTTTGTCAGTGGTGGCTTCAAAGAAGGGGATAAAATCACCAAGAATGAAGGGGATGCCGATAACACAGTAAATCTTACCAAATATTTACTACCATTCTTCTACCATCTGATATATCAGAGAAATTTACAACTAAAAATTGACAATGATATCAAACAATCTCTTTAATATTGTGTTCACATTATGGTGGTATTTGTCCAGGGTTGGCATATTATTTTTCATTGTCAACTGTCTTCTCTACAATCTTTCTTATTTTGAGTAATTATGAAGGTTCAACTATATTGCAATTATATTACTGTAAAAATTATGATAACCTTGGAACCTGTTACCATCTGGCTACGGAATGGAAACAGTATATACAATTAAATGATAAAGTAATATGTTAGATATGATAAATTTCAATTAAATTTGGCATCATTTACATGCATGCATACATGCCCATATGATGACTCCGTAAGAATTGATGAATGAAGGTGAAAACACACTGATTTACAAGTCTGTCATATCATATATTACCAATTATAATATACAGGGAGATATTTTAAAATATATCATAAAATTTAGTTATAAGTCAGGAACACAATATCCGCTCATGCAAATTCCAATTTCAATAGAAATGTAACTTCATGATTGCTGTGCTTATTCAGTAGGCTTGGCCTATTTTATACCAATTGCTCAAAAAGTTTACCAAAATAATGACTAAGTAAAACTGTATAATATGAGGCACTTGTTTAAAAAGGTCTAAGTTTGACATGAAAACATCTATCCTTAATAAATTTTATACAAATATATCATGCTTACAAGTTAAGGGTTATTTGCCAAAAATACCGGTTGAGAGGTAAACAAATTTCCAAAGCCATCAGGCGAGGGAAATTTGTTTACCTCAAAACCCTTATTTTTGGCAAATACCTCTTGTAGGCATGATATATTTGTTTAATTCCCCGAATGTTCTTTCAATTCAACTGAGTGAAAAGTCTAGAGGGGTTTGGATGTGGTGTTATTTTTAGATATGGTATTTCCTATCTGCTGTTGGATTTGCTAGCAAATACCCGGCACATGGAATTTTTTAATGACAAATACATCGGCAGAGAAAAGAAATTCTCAATACCTAGATAATTTGTGAAAAATACCATTTTTCTCATCCAATTAAAATACAGCATTATTACATAAGGTGGAATTATATAAATATTTAGCTCAAAACATTGTTTTGTTGGTCAATAACTTCAAGCTTTGTTTTCTAACAGGAATTTATTGCGTAATTGTGATTTGAATTTTTTTTATAGTAATTGCTATTCCTCTAATTTAAAGGGAAATAATTGACATTATCCTCTGTTTTGAAAGAACACAGCTGAAAACTGTTTTTTGAGATGATTAAAATTTTGAAAAAAAATAAATATTGAAAACATATTATGGGACACATTCAAAGTTGTATAAATCATACATATTCCTGTGTAAAGTAAGAGGGTATCACCAGCCCAGTAGTCAGCAATTCTGTGTTGACATGATTTATCATTCATATGGTCAAAATTATAAATTAACTGTTTTGCAAAAATTTGAATTGTTCAAAATACTAAGGATTTTCTACAACTGAGGATTAGATTACTTATAAGCAGTGTTTGGCAAAACCTTTCAGAATTTTGTTTCCTCAATACTCTTCAACTTCATACAATGTCACTGAATAAAAATTATTTCCACTAAATGCCAATCAGATCATTAATTTTTATAGAAAAAATTCCAAATTACAATTATACAATAACTTGCTGTTAGAAAACAAACCAATAAATTATTAACTAACCAAACAATTATAAGAACTAATTATTTAAAGAATGTCATTATAGAGATAGAAGTTTTCATGTCAAATTCAGACCTTTTTGAACAAGTGCCGTATATTATACTTAGTCATTATTTTGTTTGAATTTCATGACATAGACATTAAATATCGAGAAAGATGAATGGTAAGCATAGCTTTTTTTCACTGAACTCACTTCATACTAACAACCTTTCACTGAAGCAAATAGCTAAAATATTTTACTAGTTGATCAGTTTGTTGGGATGAATTCAAACTGAAATTTGGAAAACTATTTGAGCAATCAGTATTGTGATAGGCCAAAGCCAAAGTAAAATTTCATTGGATGTATATCAGTTTGACAAAAACTAATTTTGATCATTGAGTAGCCCAACATTTCCTTAACAATAGAACATGATTAAAACATTCAGCTTTTACAGAGTTGTCTCGCTGTAGTGTTATGTACCACCTTAATCTGTAAATGTAAAAGTGTAAGTCATGGAGAGATTTACTAAGAATTGTTTTAAATGACTGCTGATGTCACTACCTGATTATGAAAATGATCTTGCTGTTAAATATTATATAAATATTGGATGTTATGGAACCATTGATCAGTCAATCTGTACATGTTGGAATCATAAATTAACATAATTAATTAGAACTATGATTTAAAGGAGGATTATTGTATTTTTAAGGATTCTGACAGTGGGGAGGAAGTACCTATACAGAAACAAAGAAAACAGAAATCTGGACCTTATCCTGGATTTGGCCACAAAGATCACACAAAGTAAGATAATAAATTGTCTATACAATTAAAACAAGGAATCATAATAATCTGGAATAATTTTCTAGAAAATTGATAATAAATGTATGATGAAAACTAACCCAATTTAGGAGGGTTAACCATGCAAACATTAGCAATCATGGCTAATGGGAGGTTAGTTAGTTCATACTGAAATATCAGTGAAATTTAAATTAACCTTATTTAGATGGGTAAGTTCTAGTCTTACATTTCTTATCGATTTTCCAGAATTCAAAATTATTCCAGATTCAAACAATTCCTTGTTTAAACATAACCTTTTCAGTACTCCTTCTTTTATAAAGCTCCTACAGATATTTCAACCATGTAAGGAAAATAATTTTAAAGCAGATTTAACTTAATGTGAAGATTTTCATATTTGACATTTAAGTAGAGTTCCATGTACGAATCAAGTAATCGGCAATGAAATGGGATGCATGGGTCAGAACAATTGTTAACTATGCACCTAAAAATACCAAAATAAGGGTACCTTCTAGGCTGTTAAAAAAATCAAAATAGATTCCTTATATGCAATGTTAGAAAACATGACTTTTTTAACATCTGTGACTATTTCAGAATCCAATTTCAAATTACAAATGCTACGTATACCCTGTTTAAAATGAAAGCAGGTAGAAGAATATTTTCCATAGACAATGTATGATCTGAAAGGGCTGCAGATTTTAAAATGTTGAGGTGTTTTATACAGGACAAATTTTTTTTTTTAAATAATATGATAACTACATTTGGAAGGTGTATAGTTTGTTTAATACAATCAACAGAATACTTAACTGGTACCACAGATATTCATTATTTTGTTGTGTATATTATATCATTTATACATGTTGCAGTGATTCTAGTCTCAATTTAAATTCAAAGGGAACTCAATTAATAAACTATTTACAAAAATTGGGAACAATCATTTAGAATCTATGATTCATTGATAGCAAGCTATGTCAATAAAAACGTTAAATTCAGTAACCAATAATATTGATTTGTCAATAGCGGGCATGAAGAAATTAGAAAATTTATAATCAAGGGAAAATCTGCATTTTATGAGAAATAGCAAAACATTTAACGAAATCCACAATCTTTATACAACTATAAAAACAGAGTCAGTATGCTGTCAATGTTTTATGATTAAAATTAATTGGTTTTGATTATCAGGATAATTATAGACCTTGGTCATCAATGAGTTTTAAGTCATTTGGAATTTGAAAAAATACTTTAAATAAATTTTGTATTTTCTCTTGGTTTGCAGTAGATTTCAGCTTTAAGTCATTTAGATCTACATGTGTCTAAGCTTTTATCATTTCTTTCTAGAGAATTTGGTGGATGGGAAAAATACACTAGAGGAATTGGTCAGAAACTTCTGCATAAGGTATGAAAATATGATGTTTATAATTTATTTTTGGTTAAAGAAACTTCTACATATTACATGTATATGTTATCCTAGCATACATTAATGAGCATGAAAATGCTGTGTAGGACATTAGATAAACACCTCCTAGATAGAAGCACAACTTTTATCATTTATTAACTTATCTAGCTATTTGTGCAAAAAGATGGCTTTAAAAAAATCAATATTATTACATGTACTTACAATTAGTGATTTCAAAAGAAAATGGCATAGGCAGTAATTCTCTCAACTTGTTTTGTCCTTGTTTGGCAGGACATATAAATGAAAATCAATATATTTACATATGATTTGAAAAACTATAGACTACAAAACTTGTTTATTTTAAAATCTCAATTTTTTAAAGGATTAAAAAAAAAAAAGATGAGTGCATTATAGATATCCGATGAACCAATAAAAATTCTATACTTACACTGAAACTATAGAGTTAGTAGTTATGGAATACATATTTCAAATAAGTTTCTTAAGCATCATCAGGAATGAGAATTCCTTAGGACTTAGAAATGCAACAAGTACATCATTCCAGGATGAAATTTGTGTTTCCATAATATAACTAAAAGTAATGCAAGATAATCGTCCCTTTGCATTTTTCATATTGATAAAAAAAAAAAACATCTTCATAATTTAAGAAATATGTTATGTTTTAAGACTTTAACAAGATGAACATTATGTAAAAATGTGTTTCATATACATAATCTACTGATTTTTGTGAGAGACTGAATATACATATTTGTTTTTGTTCTAAACTGAGGTAATATTCAGTAAAAAACAATTCTATTAACATTAAATTTTTAGATGGGTTATGAACAAGGTAAAGGTTTAGGTAAAACACACCAGGGAATAACGACACCAGTCGAGGCCAAGTTACGTAAAGGTCGAGCTGCGGTTGGAGCATATGGAACGGAGAGGACAGAAAGATCGTTGAGAGATTTTCCTGTGTATGATTCTGAAGAGGAAGAAGAGAAACAATTCAAAAATGAGTTACATCAGTGGAAGAAAAAATCTGAGGTAAGAAATAATGATATTGAAATGTGACAAGAAAAGAATTTATAATGAAGAAATAATCTTGCAGCTAGAAATTTGTGGAGAATTTTTCATGGGTAACAGTTTTAAATATTTTGAATTTCTAACAAATAGAAAAGACACAGACTCCACATATTTATTTTGTATTTGAAAAGGGTCAAAACAAATTTTTCTGTATAGATTTTTGCAGTATTTTTTAAAATTCTTTACATAAAGTGCAAAAGGGCCAAATGGTGTAAAACATATTTGCAAAACTGCAGTTTATATGACACAAAAACTATATCAGATACAAAATATGTAAAATTAAATGCTTGGTACTTTGGTGCCTTTGATATCTTGAATAATCATACTTTTATTTTGGGGAAGTGTAATATTTATATGCCTATTTCTTGCTATGTTGGATACATCTGATTTTTATAGAGTAAATGGAGGTACTCAAGATTATTTTCAGGGTAAGGTAATAATATTATTTTTTCAAAGAGGTGGTTCATTTGAAAGTTTGTATATGTATCATGGGATATAAAGTGTCCCTTTGAACAAACCTCACTTTAGATATTCTAAATATTTTGATGCAATAAATTAAAAATTTAAAAGTGCTGTAAAATTTTAATTACAGGAAAAAGAATGGGTTTATTCATAAAAATAGAAGATTTATTAATTTGATTAGCCTGAAATGACTTGTCCAAAAAAGGATTCCAGTAACCTATTTAGTCAACCAAATATATTTTTTTCTAAAATATTTCATCAGAATGTTAGTTTAATCATTATGAATATGCTATTTCTTTTATAATATGATATAAAATGAAAAAGTATTTGTTTTCAGGGTCAGGTTGCTAAGAAGAAACCTAAATATGTTTACAAAACTGCACAGGAACTGATAGAAACTGGAGGAAAAAGTAAAAAGTCTCTACCTAATCGTTCATCAAAGGTCAAAGTCATAGATATGACTGGTAAAGAACAGAAAGTAATGACAGGTAATACTTTATTGTGTGTAAATTTAATATAATGAGATACAACACAGAAAAAGAGTGACATCAACTGTTCTGGCAAAGCAGACATGAATTTTTAAATTTAAAAAAAAATTGAATTAACAACCCAGACAACTTTGCCTTTTACTTTATGTTTACTTGTAAGTACATTACCATGTCTTCAAAAGTTTTCTGCCATTGTTGGTTTGCTGTTGACATTAACTTTGCATTTTCTATTATTTATAAAAGGTTTTTTTCCTGCAGCAAAAGCAGGGCAAGAAACCCCTCGACTCTGTCTGTTCATCCATCCAAGTTTTCTTGGCTTCTATGAAAGGGAATAATTTGATAATTGGTCTACAGCTTTAAAATTTTCAGTTGTAGCGAGTAAGCAATTTTTACATCTGCCGTGTAGCCACTTCAGGTTTGCTGATAGTTTGAAATTTTACAAAACTCATTGTACAAGGAAAATTTTCTTCATAGTTTTCTTGTCTTCAGTGAAAAGGAATGATCAGTTATGCTCTAGTATACATGTAACCTCAATCAATTGCATGCAGAGAGGCAGGTCCAGATTCAGTATTGGTCTTCTTTATTTTTGTATTGCCTACAGAGAATGTTGCAAAGATGTATTAATTTTTTTGTGGAGATGGTTTTATTATTAAATGAGTTTTCTGACAGTATCCATTTTAGACTTATGATATTTGTATACAGTTGCATCAGCATCCATGCTCCACAATTGAATGTAGTATATGAAGTAAAACCTTTTTAGGGGGGAAAGGATATCTCCTGACTTTTATATGATGGGTATGAGAAGAAATGAATGTTAAACTGTACTGAATATGTAGTAAAAATAACAAGAATTCAAAAATAATTTGTTTATTTTTGTATTTGAGATGTAATCTTTTTTTTTTTAAATATATTAATTTAGGAGTTGCTAGTAAAATCTTATTAATGCATTGCCCAGGAAAACATTAGTGGGGATTCAAAATATTAAGAAAAATTGATAATATTAGTAGCTATCATGCTTAAATCCAGAAATAAAGTATCTAACCAGTTAGATTTTTTTCTGTTACTAGGTTACCATTCTATTTCCCAAAGACATGATAGACCAGAAGAAGATGAGGATATTATTATGCCAGAACCTTCAAAAAAGAAAGCATTTGCTATGCCAGAACTGATACACAACCTCAACATCCTTGTGGACATGGCAGAGGAAGAAATTATAGTGAATGATAGAAAGTAAGGATTAGGAAATGTCAAAGGATGTTGATATGATGTATTTGTTATTTGTTTAAAGTTAAAGTAGCATTAGCAGTTTCATACATACATCACAGAAAACTACTGTATTTTGATATTTGAATGCATTAGTCATATATTTTATGATTGTCATTTTATTTTATTAATGACAATATTGAAAGTGATAAATAGAGAATACTAGAGGAAAAATTTGTATCCCATGCTGAACACACTTGCTGTTTTAACAAAAAAGTAATAGTCAAAAAGCCTGGGGCTAATATCAATTGAGGGTTGGTACAGCATGATAAACAAAATTTTACCATGTATTGTTTACTAAATCATACATTCAAGAATGATAACTCTAAAGGTATTCCAAACAGGGGTATAATAAAGGGTATGCAATACAAGATTTGCAATATACTGTTTGTGATATAATAACCTTTATTGCTATAGCTTATTTATTGGCAACAACCATGTTCCCCCTGAGGGCCTTATAGCACCATGGTACCATAGTCTTTAAAAAAAGAGTGTATAGAAATATGGTGATTTTAGGGAAACAATGTTATTTCAAATCACATGAAATGGTGCTATATGACATACAGGGAAGAACACAAAACAAACAAAACAAGAATCATGTAGCCAGATGTTATTACAATTAGTACATAAACACAAAACGTAATTATCAGTGTAAATAGTTAAGCTAAGAAGCATTAGAAACATATGCTGAAATTTGTTTGTATACACCATAAAGTATTTAAATTTGTGTATCTTACTTATCACAAAATTCATGAAAATTGTTATACATTTACCATATACATATGTATGACTTATCTTTACATTTCAGACTTAGATATGAAAGTGATCATATTATAAACATGAAACATGAGAAAGAAAGGGTGGACACAGTATGTGAACAGGAAGAAAAACAACTGCAGAAATTACAGAAAGTCATGGAAATTGTTGAAACGTATGTTTAGTTACTGTATAGCATGTAAAAATTTGGTGTAGAAGCCTATTATTTCATACACCGGAAAATATGAATGCAATATTTCTTATTCAGCAAATGCACATTTAAATCCAAGTAAAACAGTGTTTGTAGGATAGACTACACAAAAAAGAAGATGTGATATGATTGTCAAGTAAACATCTATTAACCTAAGGTCTAGGATATGAACAAGTACAGATCACATTGTTTTATGGTATACCGTTATCTGTCCGTCCGTCCGTCCGTCCATCATCAACATGTCAGACAATAACTCAAAAATGCTGTACCCAATTTTCATGAAACTTTGGTGAATTGTTTATATATATTGACGTATGCTCCCTTTCGATTTTCATAAAATTTTGATTTTATGTTTCTGAGTTATGGTATTTTATTCATATAAAAGGGGGATTTTCTAGTTTTTGGACAATAACTCAAAAATGATTTGAGCAGTTTTCATGAAACTTTGGTGACTGGTTTATATCTATTTGAATAAACTCCCTTTAGTTTCTTTTACTAATTTCTGATATGACATTGAGGAGTTTTGGAACTTTATTCATTGAAAAAAGCGATGGACGTATCATGCCTTCATGGCGCAGATCTTTAATACATAGTGTCATGGAAATTGCCAAAACTACTACAAAATAACACATTATATTTCCTTTATATGGCAAAAGCTTAGACCTTAAGCAGAAAAAAAGTTACTATTGTTTCAAAATACCAGTTTTATTTCTGTAGATGTGAAGAGAGAACCAAACCAGGATGTGAGAACCCATTAACTTTACCAGAATGTGCCAAGATATTTAAATGTTTACAAGATGACTTTTATGAAGAGTACAAGATGTATGACCTGGCTTCATTATCAGTAGCCCTTGTGTTTCCTATGGTATGTACATTGCAATGAGTAAAAACAGATATAGGGAACATGTTTGTGAGACAAGAACATAAAAAAGCCTCAATTTGCTAAAAATAAGAATCTAGAAGATAATTTGTACAATGTATATGATCACAGATTAAATTCAAATTTTGTTCTGGTTAAGCAATTTTTGCAGAAGTTGGGTCCTAGGATATTGAAAATATCAGTTTATGTATAGTATCTAAAATGTGTGAATAAATTGATTCGATATTTATTATATACATGTAGTCATAAGTTACAGGTCAATTTTGAGTTTTGATAAGACTGAGCAATTTTTTAAGAAGTGTTCACCCTTTAACATAGAAAATTGCTGCAAAATATCAGTTTTCTGAGGTGGAAAAAAAATCTTGATTCCATAGGGTTGGATAGGCTGGCAGTAACTCTTATTGATCATGTCCTCATCTGACCCAATTATCAATCAGATGGAAATTCCAAATTAACTTATCAGTAACAACAGTTTCCCAATTAATTTGAATTAAAAATTCACCAGACTGTCTTCTCAATAGAACGCTTTTCCCATATATTAAAGAGTTAAATCATTCAATGTTCCTGCGGGTATATATATCCAACGACCATCAGAATGCTTTTTGTCTTGCCTTGACGGAGTCAAAAAGCGAGACATAGGTATGCTGTTGTCGGCGACGGCAATGGTGGCAGCGGCGTCAACAATGTATTAGTTTGTGATTAGGTCTAGTTCGTGGTGAACCTCAGTGGTAGGTCAATGATATTTGGTATGCAGTTGTATTAGCATTGGCACATATCATTACCATGGAGATTATTTGGCCCCGCCCCCTCAGTCAAGGTCTATTGACTTTGAAACTTTTCATAGTTTACATGTATTAGTTTGTGATTAGGTCAGTTCAAGGGGAACTATTAGTGGTAGGCGAATGTTAATTGGTGTTCAGTTGTATAAGCATTAGCACATCTCATTTCCATGGAGAATATATGGCCCCGCCCCCTCGGTCATGGTCTATTTACTTTGAAACTTTTGCTTTGTTTACATGTATTAGTTTGTGATTAGATCAGTTTAAAATGAACTGCTAATGTTAAGTCAATGATATTTGGTATGCAAATTTATTGGCATTTGCAAGTATCGTTTCCATGGAGATTATATAGCCCCACCCCTGATCATGGTTCATTGACTTTGAAACTTTTACATAGTTTACAAGTTAATGTTTGTGTTTAGGTTTGTTCCCTAGTTTATTTTGTTGTTGTTGTTGAAATAACCCTGATTTCATACATTTGTGACTGAAGTTCTTTTTGCATTATTTTCTTTATCTCATCCATAGTGATACAGTGGTTCATTCAAACAAACAAGTTGACAGTTTTCTTATTATTCAAAACTTGGTATAAATTTATGACTGCAAAAGTCTGCTTAATTTTTTGTCGAGCCTTCGACTTTAGTCGAAAAAGCGAGACATAGCGATCCTACATTCCGTCGGCGTCGTCGGCGGCGTCCACAAATATTCACTCTGTGGTTAAAGTTTTTGAAATTTTAATAACTTTCTTAAACTATCCTGGATTTTTACCAAACTTGGACAGAAGCTTGTTTATGATCATAAGATAGTACCCAGAAGTAAATTTTGTAAAAATAAAATTCCATTTTTTCTGTATTTTACTTATAAATGGACTTAGTTTTTCTGCTGGGAAATATTACATTCACTCTGTGGTTAAAGTTTTTAAAATTTTAATTACTTTCTTAATCTATCATGGGTTTCTACCAAACTTGGACAGAAGCTTGTTATGATCATAAGATAGTATCCAGAAGTAAATTTTGTAAAAAAAAAAAATCCATTTTTTCCTTATTTTACTTTTAAATGGACTTAGATTTTCTGCCAGGAAACAACACATTCACTCTGTGGTTAAAGTTTTTAAAATTTTAATAACTTTCTTATACTATTTTGGATTTGTACCAAACTTGGACAGAAGCTTGTTTATGATCAAAAGCTAGTATCTAGAAGGAAATTTCGTAAAAAAATAAATCCATTTTTTCCGTATTTTACTTTTAAATGGACTTAGATTTTCTGTCAGGAAACAACACATTCACTCTGTGGTTAAAGTTTTTAAAATTTTAATAACTTTCTTATACTATTTTGGATTTGTACCAAACTTGGACAGAAGCTTGTTTATGATCAAATGCTAGTATCTAGAAGGAAATTTTGTTTTCTTCCAGTTAACGTTACATTCAGTCTGCAGTTAAAGTTTTTAAACATTTATTAGATTCATAAACTATCCTTGATTTTTACCACACTTGGACAGAAGCTTCTTACAATTAAGATAGTACCAAGAGGAATATTTTTATTGATTTACTTCCTCATTTTTGTTGAGCCTGCGATAAACAGAAAAAGTAGGCGAGACACCGGGTTCCGCGGAACCCTTTTGAATTTTTTATAACAACATTTTATTCAACAGGTTAAAGATTTCTTTAAAGACTGGGACCCCTGGAAGGATCCTGGTCATGGAGTAACCACCATTAAAGAGTGGCAGTATGTACTGGAAGATTATAACAACAAATACAATACAAGTCTACATAATATGAATATATTCCAAAGATTGTTGTGGGATATCTGGTTACCATTTGTAAGAACAGCCATTTTGTAAGTACATGTTTTTTTATAAATATTCTTTTGTTAACAATATTTGTTCGTAGTTTAAAAACTGGATAAACACATAAGGATAGATTTTAAAAAAAATGAACAGCAATTCCTTAAGATTACAACATTGAGAAATACACAACTTAGGAACATGAAAACAATTGGTGCAGGATGGTTAGACTCTGAAATGTGGTTGGACTTTCAATAAGTTCTTGCTGAAAAGCATACAGCATGTGAGTTATATGTATACATATAGAAGGGGAGATAACTGAGACTTTACATAATTTTGCATCATGATCATGATACATGTCTATCTTTATGTTTCTATAATATCCCTAAAACATAGAAAATATTAAAAATGTATGACTAACACAATAGTGCAATATGGAATCACTTTGCCTTAAAAGGAGAGAAATTTTTTACGAACAAAATTTGGAATAGTTGAGCAAAGAGTGTGGTATAACTACTGCTGCATTTTACAAAGATTTAAAATTGGTTGATTTAGAGTTGCAAATTTGCGTGTAATTAAAACATTGCATTTCTTTTTGCCTCCAGAAAATGGAATCCAAGAAATTTTGATCCTCCAATTGAATTGTTAGAGACATGGAAACCAGTTGTACCATCCTGGATGATGGAAAACATTATAGATCAACTGGTTCTGCCTCGAATTCTACAGGAAGTGGAGAACTGGAACCCTTTAACTGATCCTGTACCTCTACATTCATGGCTTCATCCATGGCTACCTCTTATGGGAGATAAACTGGAGCCCTGTTATCCTCCAATCAGACATAAACTTGCAAATGCTCTTACAAATTGGCATCCATCAGACAGTTCTGCTAAAGTTACTCTTCAGCCATGGTTAAAAGTGTTCAAACCTGGTCATACAGAAGCTTTTCTTGTTAAACATATTTTACCTAAACTTGGCATGTGTATGCAGGAGCTTGTTATAAATCCTCATCAGCAGATGCTAGGTAAATATTCAAATTATGAGTAGCCTTCATGTTCAGTTCATGCAGCAAAAACGTTGATACAGGTTCTTATATGTCATGAAAACCAGTATGAATTTGACATTAATAAAAATAAATAATGTGAAAAAAATTCCAGAACCTAACTTACATATAAAATGAAGAGTAAAATTATACTAAGTGAACTGCAATCACCTGATTTGTCAGTCTGTCTCTTCCACAATCAAACTTTTTTGTCACACTTTTGTCAGGAACTACTGTACAGAATGACTCCATATTTAATCAGCAGCTTGACAGTGATGAGTTGTAATGTATGTGCACCTTACCTTATCAGGCAGCTAGGTCCTGTTTATTGATACTTTGAAATATTGGATATGATGAATGAAAACAAATATGTTCATCAAACTTTACTCAGGAATAGAATGACTTCATATTTGGTAAGCAGCTTGACAGTAATGAGTTGTTACATGAAAGCTATTTTTTGGATCTGTCGGATGCCTAATCCTGTTTTTCAGATACTTTGGATTATGAATGGGGGCAACATGTGCAATTTCTTGTTCAGAACTGATAAAGATGGTAAACTAAATCGTAAAGTAGACATTTTAACTTGGAAATATACCATTTTCTAATTGTCATGATGATCTATGATATTGTTTGAAAACATTCATGTTCATCATTTTGAAAATTATAAAAAAAAAGATAAAACCGTAGTTAACATTTTTTATGTTTTTGTAGAGTCATGGCATTGGGTGATGTCATGGAGTGATGTTATACCTATTAAACACATGGTGTCTATGTTAGAAAGGACCTTCTTCCCTAAGTGGTTACAGGTTTTATGTACCTGGATGTCCAACATGCCAAACTATGAGGAGATTACTAAATGGTATTTAGGATGGAAATCATTGTTTTCTGAAGAATACAGAAACTATCCACCTGTTACAGGTAAGTATCTTCCAGCAATGTACAAATTTTGGACAATTTTTTTTTGTATTCCTGAACCTGTTAGGGTCCAGAAATATGTAAGCAAACATCATCAATTTTCCTCATAGTATTAATAGAGAAGTATTGAAGCAAATGAGGGCCTCAGTGGCTGAGTGGTCTGAGTAGTTCAACTACTGTATCACTAACCTGTCAACACTGAGGTTGTGAGTCGAACCCTGCACATGACAGTTGTGTTCGACTCCAATCTTGATTGAATCAGATTTCACTCAGTTTTCCTGCCAAAGGTAAATGGTTCTCTCTGTGCACTACAGCTTCCACCAATAAATCATCTCAATAACACAGCAAGCCAATAACACAAAAGAATAATAAAAGATATTTTGAAGTCTTTCCTTGAGAAATTGGGGATTTTATTATTTTGTCATTTGCTTGAGTAAACAATATTTATAGGACTACCATATTCATAGAACTAATGTAAAATATTCATGCTTCTAATGGTTAGACTTTAAGCTTACCTGACCCAAGTGAGCTTTTCTCATCACTTGTGGTCTGTCGTCATCCGTTTACTTTTACAAAAATCTTCCCTGAAACTACTGGGCCAATTGGAACCAAACTTGGTTATAATCATTCTTGGGGTATCTAGTTTTAATAATTTTGTCTGATGACCCCGGCTGCCAACCAACATGGCTGACATCTTCAAGATCTACTAGTAAGCCGAAACCATCATTTGACTCCTTATGGGAGTTATGATGATTTTTACCAATTTTATGTGTTTTTGCCTATAATTTTGAAAATTACAAATAGATAGATAGAAACTTTTTAAAATAAAAATAATCAGAAAGACAAGTTCTACAAATAAGTCTTAATGTTGACATGGTTGGTTGACTCTTTATAGCAGTTACTGCCCTTAAATGAAGACTTTCACCATTTTTTTTTGCATTTTTGCCATTAATCTTGAAAACTATGATAGATTAAGAGAAACTTTAGATAGCAAAAATGATCAGCAGGACAAGATCTACAAATATGTCTGCATGTCTGAAATTGTCAGTTAACTCTCTATGGAGTTATTGCCTTTTAATGATGGTTTTACCAATCAAGTGGCCATTGTTGAAGAAGCAGGTGATTGACATAGGCTATTTAGGGCCTCCAGTTTTATGCTACTAATGTATTAAAAAAGATATCAAAGAGAAACTGCCTATGTCAAAGCTTGGGACCTTCATGGTCTTGTCATAATTATTTGCCTTAGTTCATAGTAATAGACCTACCAGTAACTTACAAGATAAAGAATAACGATTTAAGCACTGTTCCTTAGAAAAATGGTTAAACTCCAGTACAGCCATTTCTGCATATATTTTTGATGATCAAAATAATTTCTGTGTTTATTCAGTAATATCAGATTTTTTCTTTATTAGAGCACTTTAAAAAAGCTTTGGAGTTAATGAACAGAGCAGTCAGTGGTCACTTCCAGCCAGGAGTAAAAGAAAATATAGCCTACTTTACACATACAGAAAGACGACAGATGTTAGATACTCCACCAACAAAACCACCTCCACCACCACTGCCATCATCAATCAAATCTGAACCAGATGTATGTTATTCAGCAGTTATAGGGAAAATGTTTCTAAAAGTCAATGTATTTTTAATTGATGATAGTTTTATAAGTCGCATTAGGAATTTTTCACCTGTTACTTTTTTACAGTCCTCATGCTTCTAGTCAGATTTTTTACAGAGTTCTTGGCATATAAATTCATTATTTGGTCCATTTGATGAATAATGAAGTTCTAGGAAACAAAAACAAAAAACTTAGAATTTAATTATTGGATTTGGTTAAAAAAGAAAAGAAATCTGTGTCATGACCTACTTTTAATGATCAAGTAATATTGTATCTAATTCTCAGAGAATTATTTTTACTACAATTTCATGGTTTCTTCACATGTTATCTACAAAATATGTTTTTCAGAAGTCTAAAATTTTTAATGTATTTTAATTATTTTGTTTTACAGTTCACATCAGTAAGAAGTGCAAGTCCAAGTTCATCATTTGCATCAAATTTCAAAGGTCTGGTGGATAAGATGGTATGTAGTAGTTTATGTGAAATACTATTTATTGGAATATGCTGCTATGTTAAAGCTTTGAAATGTTTCAGGTTTTAGGCACTGATGTACTAGGCCCAATCTTTATTCTTTTTAATAAATGTCTGTCATGATCAAGTAGATAAGTGCTCATGGATACAGTATTGACCCTAATTGTCCCCCGCACATTTGCATTGCATAGGACATAGAAATACCAGGTGTCCGTCCGTCCATGCGTCTATCCATCCGGTTTTGTTAGCACTCTCAAGTGTCAAGTGGACAGTTCTTGCCAAATTTTTATAAAACTTATGTCATAGGTTTATATCAGTAATGTATCAGACAAGATTGAAATCAGTGATCAACTATTTTTAAAAGAGTTATGCCCTTTGAAATATTAATTATATGGAAAATTGCATTGTAAGCGCTCTCATGTGTACAGTGCTTGCCAAATTTTATGAAACTTATATCAAAGGTTTATATAAGCAATAACTCAGACAAGTTCGAAAATCAGTGCCGATCAAATATTTTAAAAAGAGTTATGCCCCTTGGAAATATTAATTATATTGGAAATTGCATTGTATTTGCCTTCCGGTTGCCGAAGAACCAGTAGGAAAGACTAGAGGAGTTTTTTTTCTGTCATTTATAGTTTTAAATGGAAAGACATATTGTAAGACCACTGGTTTTGACCTCATCTTGGCTAAGTGTACGGATCCAAATACATATACGAGTTCAAAATATATATGTTATCAGAGACATATCACAGAAGCCACTATAATATGATCATTATAATATACTGTTAATGTTATATTTTGCAGCTTTCAATTTTTACCATTTTTCTCATTTTTCATATGCATGATTTTTTATTTAAAGGTTTTTTTTTAATTTAAAACTCAACAATAAATTTATTGAAATGTTATATGCAATAAAGGATATAAAAGGGGTATATGAGACAGCAACCCAATAAAACAAAAAAACCAAAAGACAACCTTGCAGCAGCATATTGTCTTCAACATAAGAATGTAACTGTGGTCTATTAAATATGCAAGCCTCTAATCATCCCAAGTCTAGAAAAATTGTGAAATTAAACAAGTTTATTTCATATTAGATATAAATTCAACTTTTATCATTTGAGTAAACTATCATGTGTTATTTAATCTACAGATAAAAAATCAGACATTTTCATGTTTATGCCTTGTGATTTTTTTTTTAGAGTTTACATCCATTTTTGTCTAAAAACACTTAACTTAAGTCTTGGTTTCTTCAGTGAAATAGATATAATAGCTACTTATGAAGAGGGCAGTATCTTAATAGATAGACTTCCCATGGACAGTCTGTATTATGCCATCAGGTTTTTTGGGAATACAATATTGTTTGTTGGTTCTGTTCTGTTTTAATACACCATTAAAGTGAATATTGGAACAGTAATTATCATTGTTGCATTCTTTTTGAGATTGAAATTGTTTAACTGTGATTTTCATTATTAATTTTTTTTCAGGCTCAAGAAAACAATATACTGTTCATGCCTATTCCAGGAAAAACACAGGAAGCTAAACAAGTGTACAAGTTTGGAAAGTTTCAAGTTTATGTGGACAGAAATGTTTTATTTGTTTTTGAAAATGAACAGTGGATACCAATATCAATACAGAAAATGGTAGACAAAGCAATAGGAACATAATATCATGAAATAAATCCATTCTGTTTTTCTATTTGTTTTTCTGTGTTTTTTTAGTGGTAAATTTTAGTCAGTAGTGGTAAAATTATTAGCAAGCAAATCAGAAATGGAGGAATTTCAACATGCATGCACTATTTTGTACTGTGTGTGATGACTGTCATGTTAGGTAGGATTGAGGTATTATGTTTTCAGCAGCAGCAGCAGAGGCGTTCAGAACTCATAAATTACCTTAATCTTAATATCTTATCACTGCCTTCACCCAAGATAACATAAAGGCTAATTGTGATTACACCTATATAAAAATAAGGAGATGTGGTATGATTGCCAATGAGACCTAGTCTTTGTTGTCTAACCTTGATTTCCGGTGGTGTATGTTAAGTAATTGGTATGTTCCTTAGTAACTTAACTTGAAAGGTCGATAATATTTGTGACTTGGTTGTGAGAAGTATTTGTCTGTCTGACATTTGATGACATTTGTGACTTGGTTGTGAGAATTATATGTCTGTCTGACACTTGATGACATTTGTGACTAGGTTGTGAGAAGTATTTGTCCGTCTGTCATGTCATAAAAATATTCGTGACTTGGTTGTGAGAAGAATTTGTCTGTCTGACATGTCATGACAATATTTGTGACTTGGTTGTGAGAAGTTTTGTCTGTCTGTCATGTCATGACAATATTTGTGACTTGGTTGTGAGAAGTATTTGTCTGTCTGACATGCCATAAAAATATTTGTGACTTGGTTGTGAGGAGAATTTGTCTGTCTGACATGTCATGACAATATTTGGGACTTGGTTGTGAGAAGTATTTGTCTTGCATATCATAGAAATATTTGTGACATGGTTGTGAGAAGTATTTGTCTGTCTGACATGTCATAACAATATTTGTGACTTTGATGTGAGAAATTTTTGTCTGACATGTCATAAAAATATTTGTGACTTGGTTGTGAGAAGTATTTGTCTGTCTGACATGTCATAGAAATATTTGTGACATGGTTGTGAGAAGAATTTGTCTGTCTGACATGTCATGACAATATTTGTGACTTGGTTGTGAGAAGTATTTGTCTGACATATCATAAAAATATTTGTGACATGGTTGTGTGAAGTATTTGTCTGTCTGACATGTCATAGAAATATTTGTGACATGGTTGTGAGAAGAATTTGTCCGTCTGACATGTCATGACAATATTTGTGACTTGCCTGTGAGATTTGTCTGACATATCATAAAAATATTTGTGACATGGTTGTGAGAAGTATTTGTCTGTCTGACATGTCATAACAATATTTGTGACTTTGATGTGAGAAATTTTTATCTGACATGTCATAACAATAATTGTTACTTGGTTGTGAGAAGAATTTGTCTGTCTGTCATGTCATGAAAATATTTGTGACTTGGTTGTGAGAAGTATTTGTCTGTCTGACATGTCAAAGAAATATTTGTGACTTGGTTGTGAGAAGTAGTTGTCTGACATATCATAAAAATATTTGTGACTTGGTTGTGAGAAGTATTTGTCTGTCTGACATGTCATAGAAATATTTGTGATATGGTTGTGAGAAGTATTTATGTGTTTGACATGTCATGACAATATTTGTGACTTGGTTGTGAGAAGTATTTGTCTGTCTGGCATGTCATGACAAAATTTGACCAGTGGATTTGTTTGATGAGTATATGATGATTTTTATCTCAGAATTCATACATTATATGTAGAAAATATTTTGTATATGAATTCATTACACATATGTGACATGTGAACAAGTATCTGACAAGTACAATTTTTTAATTGACCTCAGTTAGAGAATATTTTTTTGTATGTCAACTCTTGTTTCATGACTATGTAAAATATTTATATCATTTGTCATTCTTTTAACACATTTTCAACCCAGTACTAAAATACCATTGTGAGCAGAGAAAACCTGTGACTATCAAACAATAAATGAAAATGAATTACTCTAAAATTGCTTGGTCTAAATGACTTTCCTAGATTTACCCTCACCAGAAACACTTGGGTCCAAAAGTTTCAAAGCAAATGATGAAGAAACAAATACATGTAGTAAAGTGCACAACTAAAAGGTCCTAGAACCAAATGTCAAAGCATTTTGACCTTCCCTTTCAAAATTATATGCGTTCTTTTATTTTCTTGGTCAAATTAGTAGTCATTCTGTTAGTAGCTGGAAACTGCAGGTTAAATATTGTTTCATTTTAAGTTCACCTGACCTAAAAGGTTAAGTGAGATATTCTCATCAGTTTGCATTAGTTGTCCGTGGTCATAGACCATTTACTTTTACCAAAAAAAAACTCCTCTTAAACTCAAGGGCCAATTGGAACCATTTTTGGCTACAATCATCATTAGGGTATCTAGTTAAAAAAGATGATCCTGCCTGCCTACCAACATGGCCAACATGGCTAAAAATAGAACACATGGGTAAAATATAAGTTTTGTCCATTGTCTTGAAAACTGCTATAGAGAGAGAAAATCTAACACTGGCAGAAATGTTTAGAATGGTGAGATCTGCCTATGTTCATTTACAAAACTTGTGTCAGACAACTTCTTATAGTTTAAATGCTGAATTTTACAAAAAAAAAATGAACTATTAAAAGTGTATATTGAAAACTGTAAAAGATACTGAGAAACTTTTAATACCAAAAATTACCAGCAAAGACAAGATCTACAAATAAGTCAACATGGCTGAAGTGAAATCATCAGACAACTCTTTGTAGAAGTTATTGCCCTTCAATGATTTTTTTTTCGTTTTTGTCTATTATTATGAAAACTATGATAGAGACTCTAAAATGAAAAAAATGATCAGCAAGACAAGATCTTGTCAGTCGACTCCTTATATGAGTTACTGCCCTTGATTGAAGATTTTACCCATTTTTGCTTTTTGGCTAAAACTAGTAGATAGAAACTAAACAGAAACTAAACAAAGTGATGCCCCGCACTCCACTCTGAAGTAACTGTATTATAACAAAGTCAATGTAGGACTTTCTTTGAGATATTATTGTGTCTAGGAGACACAAATGATGCCCCTGCAGATGCAAAGTCTTATTTTAAAATACACAAAGTTGAGCATGGGAGCACATAGGTCTATGGTTCACTGTAGGAGGAGTTATCCGGAAACGCTATGCACCTCGTATGCAAGTACATACTCCAAAAATGACAAACTTTTTAAGTTCAACTATCTCCCAAAAGAGCAAATATCAATAATAAAGTTAGAGATCGGAAACGAAAAATTCAGCAATTTTTATGTTTATAAAGGGACATAACTCAAGAATGGTAAAAGTGTTGCCACCAAATTTCGTATTTATTCTGTATTATGTAGTAATAAGCATTGTGTATAAGTTTCATAACATTTGGTTGAGGCAAACTAAAGTTAGAAAATGGAAACAAAAAAATTGTACTTGATCTTAGTTTTGTGGTAATGAATATTGTGTATAGGTTTCATAATGTTTGGTTGGGGCAAACTTAAGTTACAGAATGGAAACTAAAAATTTTGCAATCTTTCGATTTATAAAGGGCATAACGCATAACTCAATAATGGTTAAAGTGACACTACCCAAATTCAACTTGATCTGTGTTTTATCAGTGGACGTCAAAATTATACATTGCAATTGTATAAAGCATTGATTGTAGTTGATTCAACTATAATCATGGACAAAGGAAGATAACTCCAATTTTAAAAATTACTTGATATTTAGAAGAAAATAAAAATGTGTTTTGTGGTAATAAGCATTGTGTGTAAGTTTCATAATATTTGGTTGATGCAAACTTAAGATAGAGAACGGAAACTAAAAATTTTGCATTTTTTCCATTTATAAAGGGGCATAACTCTAGAACGGTAAAAGTGACGCCACCAAAATTCAAACTTGATCTGTGTTTTGTGGTAATAAGCATTGCGTATAAGTTTCATAACATTTGGTTGAAGCAAACTTAAGTTAGAGAACGGAAACTAAAAATTTTGCAATTTTTCCATTTATAAAGGGGCATAACTCTAGAACGGTTAAAGTGACGCCACTAAAATTCAAATTTGATCTGTGTTTTGTGGTAATAAACATTGTGTATAAGTTTCATAACATTTGGTTGAGGCAAACTCAAGTTAAGAGAACGAAAACCAATTTTGGGACGTACGTACGTACAGACGGACAAGGGTAAAACTTAATGCCCCCACCGCTACGGCGGGGGCATAAAAATCAAAACCCTGACCACATGCACACCTTCAATATATGTACAAACAGCCAGCAAAGTGAAAATTTCCTAGCATTCAGACTGTAGGAGTTATCTGGAATAACTATATACCCATAATGGGACAGACGGACAAATGGATGGACAGGGGTAAAACAATATGCCCCCCAGTTGCATGGGCATAAAAATAATCAGCAATACAAGATCAACAAAAAAGAGATTTTAGTCATGAATCATATTCTAGTCTACAATGTTGAAGATGCACATAGATCCAGGTGAGCCAGACAGGATCTTTAGATCCTCTTCTTTTATAACATGGTTTAGATATATAGGCTTTGTATGCACATAAAACTAGTTTTATGGTGGTTCAGTGGGTAAGGTTCTGCAAACATTTCAAACTTGTTATCTGGAAACAGAAAATGGTTAAATCAGCGGAATCATCAATATCCAATTTATGACCAAATATAGAATCTTTTTTGAATGCACAAGCTCAGAAATATGTACAATTTTCAGTTTCTGACCGACTTAATGACAAGGGGAAAGCAGTTAACCACCTAGTCCAAGAGAGGAGGTTAAATATCATACTAAATTCCAAATCACTGTAGTAATCTGTTGTTTAGGAATGTCTGTTGTACTTGGTTCCTAAGAAATTCCAATATGACATAAAGCAGGAAAAACAGGCCAATTTCCATTGGTTTTTACGACCAGAAACATTTGATACATGGGACCACAAAATGATCTTTTTACATGTGGCTGAAATCCAGAAGATTTTATCAACTTTCAACAAAATATTTATGTTCTAGGTGCATTTGCTCAAGCTTTTGTAAGTTCTTTGGTGCTTTGTACAGATCTGATGAGTTAAGCCCTTTATAACTGATTTTTATAGTTTGTTTTTATGTTGTGCTGTTATACTACTGTCTAAGGTTAAGGAGAGGGTTGGGGCCTAAAAACATGTTCCACCACGGCACATTCTGTATGTGCCAGTTCCATGTCTGGAGCCTGCAATTCAGTGGTTGTCCTTTGTTGCTGTATATCATATTTGTTTTGTATTTATCAGGCTTAAGTTTTGTCATTTGAATTGTTTTACATGTCATTTACATTACATTCTGATATGTTTATGAGTTAACATGGAACACTTTTTAATCATGAAATAATAGACGTGATATTGAGGGGCAAACACTTTTTAATCATGAAATAATAGACGTGATATTGGGGGGCAAACACTTTTTAATCATGAAATAATAGACGTGATATTGGGGGGCAAACACTTTTTAATCATGAAATAATAGACGTGATATTGGGGGGCAAACACTTTTTAATCATGAAATAATAGACTTGATATGGGGGGGGGGGGGGGGGGGGGCAAATAAGATTCTTACTGCACCTTCTACATTATTCACAAGTCAATGATTTTAGAACAAAATGGGTGCCTCTAGTGGAGCAGGATTTGCTTACCCTTCAGAAGCACCTGAGATAATCCAGAGTTTTTGCTTGAGTTCATGTTGCTCAGTCTTTAATTTTCTATGTTTTGTATTCTGGACTTTTTTGTCTTTTGTCGGCTTTCATTTTTTTTCCATGGTGTTGTCAGTTTATCTTTAACTTATGATTTTTTAATTTCCTTTTGATATCTTCTGCTTCTTATTTTTACAGGTTGGACACTTTTCTATGGTTAAGACTATATTGACCTCTAGATGTCTTTTGGGGTTTTTCTCTGCGTTATTGGGTTGTCATTATATATGTTATACTGCATTTAAGGTAATCAAGACAAAATATGTATTACAAACAAGCCATATCTCAATCTATCAGTATTCAACAAAATTGAGGAACTTTTAACATGTTTAAATTCAACTTTTATTTTCAATTTTCAGCTTCCAGTATGTACAATAAATATATTATCTCTCATACAATCCTACTGTCACATCCATGATAAGTGATAAATAATAAATTCACACCTTTACAATTACAATATCAGAATTTTTCATAACCAAAACAGTCAACAAGTTATCAGAAGAATTTTTGTCTCCTGTACACCTTTTGAAAAGAGGAATTGTCTGAGAAAGTTGATGAAAATAATGAGAAAATTTAAACATACAAAGAAATTTAAGATTTTTTTGTGATATAACTACATCATGTGATAATTGATTATCCTCACATTTCATAAATTTTAACACTTTAAAAAGTAAATCCTAGTTCGATATTATTCACCATAGATACTTGAGAGAAATTCATACAATTAATGTAAAAAATAGCATATCACAATACACTACAGTGGGCATGGCTCTACAATCAAGTCCAGTCATTGTGTTTATCATTTTAATCCATGCATTTTGTTAACATAACATTGAATTAACATATAGGATAGTTGGAATATGCAGCATGTATTGTATTGAATGATCTGTTTCTTGATAAAGACCCAAAACTTTAGTTTTCAGCTTACAGTGCAAGTACTTTAAACTGACTCTAACAGCTGTCTGGCTTTAAGCATAAGGACAGCATAGATTTTAAATATGTAATTGATTTGTATTAAATGTTTACATTTTCTTGGAAATTATTTTTCAGGCAAATCTTTTCAATGTGTAATAAGTTCACAAAGTTTAAATTTCCTCATTTGTAACCTGAACTACAAATTAAAGGTCAGCTAAGAATATAACTGGTACCCATATGCAAAATGTATAACCTGAATGGTTGATCTGCTTTTACAGATATCCTGATATCATCTAATTCATGACTGCCAATAATAACAACTAAATCCTATAATGGATTATAATAGATAATTAACACGCTAACATTGGTTTCAATGTAAGAAACAAGTCAACATGAAATCATTGAGATAATGTCTAAAAGTTTATCATCACTTACAAACTGGTCCTATAGGAACAACACAAAAAGATCTTCAAACTGAACTAAAAACAGGGATTTTTAAGGTAGAAATGAATCTTTAATATTACTGTTTAATACCTGATATTTAAAACAAAACTCAACAAAGGAGTAGGCCCGGTAAGACCCCTTTTTGGCCCCAAAATATAACATTTTTACAGAGTTGTTAAATTGTTAACTTTTACTTATTTTTTGGAAAGTAACATGCTTTTGTTACATAAATATGGGCTGTTTTTGGTGATACAATGGACATGCATCAGGTTCTAGCATCATTATTTCATGCAAAAATACTGATATCTTCACAATTTAAACATTTGTGCTAATTTTAAGACAGTTTTTGTCTAAAATGGAAGTGGCCGCACTTGTGCTCATTCTGAATATTTAAATATATGTTGTATTTAATGATAAAACATAATATATATAAATGTTGAGAGTGAACATGAATGCAGCCACTTCCATTTTAGACAAAAATCATCTGAAATGTGACGTTAAATGGTATATTTGATAGATTGTTCATATTTAAGCTTGCATTTGAGCGTTTTTTTTAATTACCAAGTCAGTCCAAATCTTTTACAATAACCAATTGAATCGAATGAAGTAGATATTTAAGTGTATAAAAAATGTGAAAAATCTTTCATCAGATGTACTTTGAATTTTTAGGCCGAAATTCGCCCTTATCTTCTCCTTTACTGTACTGATAAAACCTTGTATAACGTCTTAATATTGCAAATAGAGTACTATAACTGCATGTACTTTCTCATCTTCCTGCAGTATTAGCTGTAAACTTTTTTCTGTACATATGAAAGAAACTGATATAGAAATGAAACTGAATCTTAATACACCAATGAATAATTTAATGACTATAACTTTTTCGTATGCAATCTTCATTTACCATATATTTGAAAATTCTTTCATTACCAAAAACAACTCTATGAAATTTGCATTTTTACATACCACTTTAATATTCTTTGGTAAAACAGACAAATGACTAAAAATGTCAGTAAAAGGTGGTTCATATTTCCTGCAGACTATCAAATGATTGTTCTTGTCAAAGAGGTGAAGCTTATACTTTAGTATTATGTCAACTTTAACAGAGGTATAAAGGAAGGAATTGATTATGTTATTCAGTGGATGGGATATAGGCCTTATTTTTTATTAACATCTATGATTTTTTCCACTCTATCATCTATACTGAAGAACTTGTTTACTATTTAGCATGTCAACAGGCGTAAAGATAAGAGAAATAAACAAAAATGTGTCCATAGTACACGGATGCCCCACTCGCACTATCATTTTCTATGTTCAGTCGACCGTGAAATTGGGGTCAAAACTCTAATTTGGCATTAAAGTTAGAAAGATCATATCATAGGGAACATGTGTACTAAGTTTCAAGTTGATTGGACATCAACTTCATCAAAAACTTCCTTGACCAAAAACTTTAACCTGAACTGGGACAGACGGACGAACGAACAAACGGACGCACAGACCAAAAAACATAATGCCCTCTACTATCGTAGGTGGGGCATAAAAATAAAAACTATCACTACAGTATAGTACCTCATTGGTCCTTACAAACACGGTCAAACTTGGATGACTAGCATTGCAAGTTATGCAAGTTAAAGGTTGGCATTGTCTTGCAACAAGTTTGGACTGTATAAAATAAGTGGCAACAAATGTCAAAAAGATTCCACAACAATTTAATGATTTAACAATGCTGCATTTGTTTTTGTAATGAAGATGGATATAAAACAAAACGTAGAATAGACAAAAATTACATTTATATATAAAGCTTAAACAAATATAACATAAAACACAGCATTTAACAATTCTATTCTTCTATCTGTTAAATCATAAATTAAATATAATCCTATATATATATATATATATATATATATAGACAATAAATTCATTGGCAGAAAAAAAATCCTCAAAAAGTTGAAAATTAGTAAAAAAAAATAATCTTAGAAACTTTACAAGTGCCTGCTTTATTTGAAAACTCTCATAGTTTTAAACTCCTAAAATTTTTCACCAATTGATCAATTTGAAGAGATGAAACTGTGATTTGGAAAAAAAAATCAGGTGATTGGTATTATGAAAGGCAAAATCCTTTGGAAAAAGCACAGTAACATTAAACAGAAATAAATGTTCAGAGAAAAGTATTTTTCCTATTCCTATTTGTCAATGCTTAATTCTTATTTTCCTGTAATTTTAAGCAAGAAACTAAATAAAAATGTGCCTTTTCATTTAAGGAAAACAGTGGATATTAAAATCAAATCAAATATTATGAATTGTTTTAATGTGTTTTACTTTAACTTGTAATGCAATATGTATACAATTATAGCTCTGAATAAATAAACAGCATGTTTGTAAAGCAATTTTGTAAATACTTTGTTAATGACAGTTTCCTGGCAGTCAATTCTCAATTCATGCAAGGTGTAATTTACTCATTGTAAAAACATCTCTCATACACTCAAGCTCCTTTTTTTTTTTAATTAAGAGCTATTCCAGAACTTACTGCATTGAAGCTTAATACAAGTACACACACATGCACAACACTGTTTACATTCAAATGTTTACTATATTTGAAACACTATACATTAAAGATGAAGTCATGAAATTATGAAATAAACTAGAATAATATCTTTTTTTTATATTTCAAAATGAACAAACAATCACAATTTCCCAGAAAATTCTATGTTGCATGGATAAGGCTACATAAAAATTATGTTGGAGTAAATAATCGAAATTATGTTGGAGTAAATAATCGAAATTATGTTGGAGTAAATAATCGAAATTATGTTGGAGTAAATAATCAAAAAAAATTTCAGATATTTTGTCAAAACAATACTGAATCTTTAGAGTGACTTTTTGAGAGTCAAATCGTCAATTGTAATATAAATTATATGTGCATGATTTAAATATATTTCCTTCATCTTATTCTTAACTATATGTGACATATAAATGCTATTAAAGCAATTATGCTCCTGGTAAATTCAACTTCAAATGAGTATCTTTTATAAATGGCTACTGGATTTCCTGATGCGGTTTCCAAATGTTTTGCAGCTGTATTCCATTTTATTGATTTTTTTTCAAAAATATTAAAAAAAAATCCCCAATATTCCAACATGTACGCATTGTCAGAAAAAATCAATAATCTGTCAAGAAAGATTCAAAATTAACAATCCATTTCAATCATAAGATATTCTGTGAAAATACCTGCCGACCAGCCATTATTGAAAATACAAGTTCTACCATGGATTGCAATGTCATTTAAATGATGGAAATTCATATTTTTGAGAGAGAAAAAAATGACACACAACAAAGATCTAGCAATGTGTTTTATATTTTATAATTTTAGATAGTTATAAAGTTATAATGAGTTCTAAAATAATGATCATTTTACATAATACATTTTGATACAATCTAAGGATAAAACAGATTTTGTACACAGAATATTCAATAAAACCATATCTAAAAATATTTCCAGAGTTCCAATATAGATCACAGTTACATATATAAAGGTGTTTATAACGGTAGAAACGTTTTTTTAAATTTCAAAAAATATAAGCACTATTATGATCAACATATGTTGCTGAGAACCACCATACCACACAAGGTTACTTCTGGTTAAGACATTAACAAAAGAGGTCACCATTTTGATATTGCAGACGACACTATCACAAATTAACAACAACCACCACTACTTTGTTGTTGTGGCTGTTCATCGTCCACAACTATCACACTTTTACTTTTCGTCATTGTCCTATTATTTTTACCGCCATTTTCTGCTGATTTTTCTATCATACCTAAAACAGAAATTCAGAAACCTGCTTAATTGGCACATTTTGATTCTGTTAAATTTCCCAAATCATTCTATTACTCTCATGTTAATTCTTTTAGTTTTCTGAACGTGAATAAAGATAAAGAATCCGGAAGATATAGTCCATTGATTCTACATGAATTACCTAAAACATGTAAAAGTTTTGCAGTATTTCCTGTTTTCCTGGTCATAAGTGGTCAAACAGATTTTACCGATAGTTGATGCCAAAATAAATTTCCCATGCAGAGTGTATTATACTGTTTATTCCAAATTTGTTTTCCAGATCTATTGTGCAATCACTTATTGAGCAATTAATGAAATTATATTGTACATCCATTATCATGTTTGTTTCTATTAAAACTGATTAAACATGTTTTATAATGGTAATGTCCAGTTATATATAATCTGAAGTAGTCATCAACTTATAAGTTCTCAAATACAAATGACAAAGTAATTAAAAACAATTAAACATGCTACCATCATTTTGTGAACTCCCAAAAATAAAACCCTTCATATATCATGTATATCTATATTGATATTCCTGAATAAAACAAAATAGTCACAAAATTTCTATAATTTTTAGTGCTGTGAATTACTGTAGATAGCCAATATTACTTCTACCCATTACCATAATCCGTTCAGTGCTCACTATTCTCAAATCTCCACGATCAACTTTCCACAAAAGAATACCTAGAATACCTTAACAGATAAAGTGAATACCTTAACCATTGTTAACAGATAAAGTGAATACCTTAACCATTGTTAACAGATAAAGTGAATACCTACTTTTACTAAGATCTAAAAACATCTCATCAATTCCTTTACTTAGTTTTGCTGAAGTATGAAAGTGCTTTGCACCAACTGATTTAGCATATCTGTAAATAAAAGAAAGAAAGGAACTTGAAGTATTTGTTTTATGCTGATTCTCACAAGTTAAAAAGACTTAATTACATACATGACATATGAAAGCAAATGCATCAAGTTGTTCTGTAAGGTAATGCTAACCTACTATACCACCATTCAATTTCTTTGACTCTATTTTACATATATGTTTTCAGCAAACAGGAAGTAGAACATTGAAGGAACTGAAACCTTCACACAGTATGGCAGAACCAGATGACAAAGAAGCCACAAAGATGTAATACATGGCCATTATAAATGTGTACGAATACAGACAAACCTGTATTAAGCAGTCATTCTTTGGAAGTATCAAAAAAGACCGCTCAAGAGAGGTGACCTTTGAAATGGGGTTCCAAGAAATTCCGATTCCTACATCATCCGTTAACAGGATTGGGGTCAAATTGTTTTAGGATTTTCAATTGGTAGAGTTATCGTACTTGCGAGCAATGAAATAAAAAATGGTGGATCTAGGCGCTGTAAATTTGAAGAAGATGTCGAAATATGTTAATATTTGTGGGGAAATAATTCGCTGATACTGTTTTCAATGGAAACTGAAAAGAACGGAACAAGGCGAATTCAAAATTCACCTTCTATTGAGCGACCTCGGTTGCAAACGGGTTTCGATTTTCATTTTGACAACATGTATTTTTCGTCATGAAGATTTTTGGTAGTTTAAAACATTAAAATGACCGTTAAAAGTTGAAATGACGAATTCCTTCGAAAATAACGTGACTGCTGACCGTGTTAGACAAGTGATTGCTGAAATGAGTTAAATTATGTAGAGAAAACATTTGGGAGGGTCTGAAAGTGACCATTAGAGGCAGGTGACCGTTGAGGCAGGTTTGACTGTATATAAGTATTTTGTAAACAGGAAGTTGATATTAAATTTGAGGATGAAAAATAATAGAAATTTTCTGCAGGACAGAACACATTGACAGACAGTGGTAAAGATGTAAAACCCCTCCCTTGCGTGGGTACATCTAAATTTTTAAGAACTCTAGATCTAATAAAAGAAAATGCAAAAACTGTCATTACAATATATTTAAAATCACATTTACACGAATGAAAAGTACTGAGTAGCACTGAGTTTTCTTTATTCCTAAAGTTACAAAACCTTAAGTAAATATCACTCCACCAGTGTATGTATCTATGTAATACACAGACAGCTAATCTTCATATGAATAACAATAGCAAATGTAAACCCTTTGATGTCATCTTTGGTCTTCTGTTTTGTTGTGTTGCTGTCTCATTGAAGTATATCCCACTCTCCCTTAGTTTCCTGGATTACTGGACTGACACATATCCCACTCTCCCTTAGTTTCCTGGATTACTGGACTGACACATATCCCACTCTTCCTTAGTTTCCTGGATTACTGGACTGACACAACTAACAAAATGCTACATTAAGCTCAAATGCATTAAGATATATCGTTAACTGAATGAAAAATACTTACGATTCTGCATCTGATACTGCAACATGGCGATCTTTTTCTAAATCTATCTTATTACCAGCTATACATAAACTGATATCATTCCCTAACATCTTCCGCAATTCTTTAACCCAGTTCTTAACCTAGATTATAACAAAAATGCAATATATTACATGATATATAATTATGAAATTAAATAACATTAATCAATAAAGATATCATTTATTGTTAAAATGTGTACAAAAACAAATTATTCCACATTGGCTAGAGGTATATGGGGAGGATGAGAATCCCGCAACATTTTTGTGCCTGTCTCAAGTCCTCTAGCCTTTGGTAGTCTTGTGTGTTTTTTAAATTTTAGTTCCTTTGTATGTTTCAGAGTATAGTGCGGCACCCATTTTGCTGAATTAGTATAGATTATTGTTAAGGGGCCAGTTGAAGACCACCTTTTTGGTGCAGGATTTTCTCCCTGCATTGAAGACCCCTTGGTGACCTTGGGCTGTTTTCTGTTCTTTGGTTGGGTTGTTTTCTCTTTGACACATTCCCCATTTCCATTCTATCTCAAAATTTTAACATGTATGGAATTCTATTTTAAGGTCCAACCAAAATTGACATTTCTAAAACCATATTTCATGTGCCATAAAGGCAAATTATTAATCACCAAAAATTAGATTTATAACAAGGCAGCAAGATGCCTATATTCCTTTGAGCAAGCAAATAGTTACAGAATGACAATGAATGACAGGAATGTAAACAAACTTTTTGAAATGAGTCTTCATCTGTTATATCATAAACTAATATGGCACCATTGCTATCTCTGTAATATATAGGACCTAAGGCATGAAATCTCTCCTGTCCTGCTGTATCCTGAAAAGTAATCAGATTTGAAACTTGAGTAAAAATCAATCTGGAAATAATCATCTGATCAGCAATTTTAAATTATTACTTTTGCACTGATCATGCTGTTAATTAAATGATTGCTGGTAATTATATATATTCAGTTTATATTCTTGAATGAGACAATTAATCTAAACCTAGACCCCTAACAAGGAGGAGTTGAGCAAAAGAGAGGCTTTTACAATATATCAAATACTCATTTTTGATTATCTCCCCTTTAACATGTAGGACAGGGATTGTATTCCTTCATGCACATCCTTGAATAGTGTTGTACAACTATGTAAAGTTTCGTTAATATCTGTTTAGCTGTTTGGTAACATGACACATGGACAGACAGACAGGTAGTCAGAGTGATTCCTGTACACCCCCCTCCATACTTTGTTTGCGGGGGTTTAATGTGTTTGTCAAGAGTTCTTTCAAGTGAAACATAATTTTTGTCTGTAATTCTAGACTTATTGGTTAGAATTTCCTGTAACACTATATCATATTTTGTCTAAGAATTATACAATTAATGCATTGAAAAGTCAAGAGATGAATTTTATTTGTATGTGTAAATTCATATACCAGGTAGCCATCCAGTGAGATTATGTTTTCTAAGTAAAGAAATCAAAACAAGTAATTTTATCCTATCATTGATGATTTACTATAAGCTTGACAACTGTCAAACCAACAAGAATTTATGTGAGTTTGTACCCAGGTAAACTGCATGGGAAAGGCAGCAAGTCTGAAGAAACCTCAAATAAAACATAGTAAAGAAGGGACAAGTATATTACAGGATACAAACAAATAAATTAAAATAACCAATGACCTTAATAATTCTGAATGTCCAAATTTTATTACTGATATCAGTTAATTTTGATTTACATCTAATTTTAGTAATGACTAGTAAACATAAATTTGAACCAATTCAGGATTCTTTACGTACATTTGTTTTTAGGGCTATTCCATTAAAATGTATGTGGGAGGGTAGGAAGGGACTTTCAAAATATCCCTACAATCAAGAACCATTTTTCAGATAATTTTGCATAATGGTAATAGACGCATACTGAAAAAAGACCCATGACCCACATTCAATAATTAAACTTCCCTTCCTACCCTCCCAAATACATTTTAATGCAATAGCCCTTAATTGGCAGTGGTAATTAAATGTATCTAAAGTTAGCAGTTCTTTTTTGTTTGTAACAATAATGTATATTTTCATGTCTATGAACAATATAACATGTACAACTATGATATATTAGCAGAACTCACCCATATAGATAAATTAACTCTTTTTCCACCAATGTTTAACTTTTTGTTCAAGAAAGATGCCTAAAATTAAAATAAAATTCAATTTGTAGTTAAATTGTATTGATCTTCATTATAAATTTTCGGTCCAAATTGGAAAAAAAAGACTAAGAGTCCAATGACCGACATCTGATCCATCTACTTTATATTTTTAATTTACTATAAGACTCCAGTTAACATGAAAGCCAAGCATATTAAATAATGTCCAGGTATTGTTTTAACTATCCTGCACTTTTAATGCATACATGTATGAAGATACAATGAGTTCATATGTTTTATGTCTGCCATATTGGGTCACTTGCTTGCTGGTCAAAAATTTTCCAGCTGATAGAGGCTTATGCCCTGCATGCGCCAGTAATTCCTTTGAACGAAAGCAGGTTCTTCCAATCCGTATCAGGTGTAATTACTCTTTGTCTAATCCCCATGATTGTAATGATTTTTTAATAGCTTTGGTGGTTTTATTATGAAAGTAACAACTTCATACTGTAAACTAGTAAGCTTGGAATTACAAATGTAGTAAAAACACAGAGTGAATGTATGAATTGTATATCAAAAAAGCTCATTTCTTTTCACAGCTTGGCTACTTTGATCTCAGACTGTTTTGACCTTGCATTTCTATTTTCTAAACATTTGTTCAATCAAAAAAAATATTTTTTAATTTTGCACCTTATTTCAACACTTTTCCCTTTCTTTTATCAGCCAGGGTTCTCTCTTAGGACTTCGATTATTTTTTAACTTTTGATGTAAAATGATGTGTGCTCAGTTGATTTAACATTTGACAATCTTGATGCATATTTGGACTCACCAGTTTGAAAATAATGAATACAGACAGATTGTAATATCAGAGGCCTAATACCTGTTCGCGCTGGATCGGTTTGAATACATATTCATCTGACCTTCAGTTTAACCCTCGGTTGGAGATGGGTTATGTATGTGTTAAGCAGGTTCAGTTATTATAAAGGATTAAATTTACATATTATTTTTTATCAATAGCATGAAATCAGACCTACTTGTAGAGAAATAGGTGTTAAAAAATTGCTTGTGCATGTCTGCAGTGTATTTATGTTTATATCAAGTCGTTTGACAATCAGCATTCTTTGAAGTCATCTTGTGGCTAATAAGATGGCATCTAGTCCAAACTACATACAAATTATTGATCCACAGGATTTTTTAATAGCGCTGTGGTAAGCGCGCGATATTAGATTGATTCACCATTCGCATTTGCAATGAGATGTTACATTCATTTATAACTGTGCATGCCATGTTTGTTATATTATATTAAAAAGACAAAGACCTTCATTTTTATAAATATGCATTAACAGAAATGGAAATAAGTTACATTTTTATTATTTAGCTTTAAAAATAAAAATACCTAGATAATTTCATTTCATTACCATCACTCCCCACCTTTTTTTTTAGGAGTAAATATGTAAAATGTAGCACAGTAAGTATATCTTTTTTTTTCTCACATCTAGTTGTTTGGCTTAAAAACTAGTTATGTATTTCATTTACAACTTCATAATTAACTGACACATATTTCAAGAAAGTTTTCAACATGTTCAATGACCAAATTGGACTTTTTTCATTGACTTTTATTTACATCTTTCAAATTACAATTTCGCAATAAAAATCAGTATATTATTTAATATCAAAGGAAGAAATGGAATTACCTTTTCCATAAGTACTGAAATGTTATTAAAGACATGTTTAAATAAAATGCTCCGCAGGGTGCAGCTTGATACGACCGCAGAGGTCGAACCCTGAACAGTTGGGGCAAGTATGGACATAACATTCAAGCTTGATACAGCTCTGAATTTGGATTGTGATTAAATATTTGACACAGCATAGGTTTCTGACACAGAATGAATGTGGTCTAAGAACTTAAAAATTTTAAATTGGACATTCACCTATTATGATCCAATATCCAAAATCTAAATACATGGTAAGATTCAGCATATCAAAGAACCCCAAGAATTCAATTTTTGATGAAATCAAACAAAGTTTAATTTTGGACCCTTTGGACCTCAATGTGGACAAAGTTGATAACGTGGCCCAAAAATCAAAAATCTAAATACATGGTTAGATTCAGCATATCAAAGAACCCCATATATTCAATTTTTGTTGAAATCAAACAAAGTTTAATTTTGGACCCCTATTTGGACCAACTTGAAAACTGGGCCCATAATCAAAAATCTAAATACATGTTTAGATTCAGCATATCAAAGAACCCTAAGAATTCAATTTTTGTTAAAATCAAACTTAGTTTAATTTTGGACCCTTTGGACCTTAATGTAAACCAATTTGAAAACGGAACCAAAAATTAAGAATCTAAATACACGGTTAGATTCGGCATATCAAAGAACCCCAATAATTCAATTTTTGATGAAATCAAACAAAGTTTAATTTTGGACCCTTTGGACCTCAATGTGGACCAATTTAAAAACGGGACCCAAAATCTAAAAACTTAATACACGGTTAGATTCAGCATATTAAAGAACCCCAAGAATTCAAGAATAAAACCCCATTGAAATTGGTCAAGAAATAAGCAATTTATACGAAGTATCTTCTTTTGCACAATACTGTGCAATTGAATATTTCTTGCTATTGCGCAATACTGCACAATTGACAATTTCTTGCTATTGCGCAATATTGTGCTATTGGATATTTCTTGCTATTGCCCAATACTGTGCAAGTGAAGATTTCTTGCTATTGCGCAATACTGTGCAATTGAAGATTTCTTGCTATTGTGCAATACTGTGCAATTGAAAATTTCTTGCTATTGCACAATACTTATTATATAATAATTTACACATCCTGTTTGGTGTGTATCTCCTACCATATCATTATTATTTGCTTTTAAATATAAATCAGAAATAACCAACTTAAAATGGAAAATTTTAAAAGAAAAAAAAAAGGAAAAAAAGAAAAAAAGAAACCTCCTCCCCAAATTTTTTTGAACCCCCTTATGATTCTTCACCCCCAAACTCAATCCAAGCCTTCCCTTTGTGGTATGGTACCTTGCAGTACAATTTCAGAGAGATCCAAACACTTACACACAAGTTATTGTCTGGAAACTAGAAAAATGTGTTTTTTGGCCCCCAATTCCTAAACGTTTCGGGCAATTACCCCCAAACTCAATTCCAGCTTTCCCTTTGTGATATGGAACCTTGTAGTACAATTTCAGAAATATCCAAACACTTACACACAAGTTATTGTCATGAAACTAGAAAAATGCTTGTTTTTTGCCCCTTTTTTGGCCCCTAATTCCTAATATTTTGAGGCAATTACCCCCAAAATCAATCCCAGCATTCTCTGTGTGATATGGAACCTTGTGGTACAATTTCAGAGAGATCCATACACTTGAACACAAGTTATTGTCTGGAAACTAGAAAAATGTGTTTTTTGGCCCCATTTTGGCCCCTTATTCCTAAACGTTTCGGGCAATTACCCCCAAACTCAATTCCAGCTTTCCCTTTGTGATATGGAACCTTGTAGTACAATTTCAGAAAGATCCATACACTTTCACACAAGTTATTGTCATGAAACTAGAAAAATGCTTGTTTTTTGCCCCTTTTTTGGCCCCTAATTCCTAATATTTTGAGGCAATTACCCCCAAAATCAATCCCAGCATTCCCTTTGTGATATGGAACCTTGTGGTACAATGTCAGAGAGATCCATACACTAACACACAAGTTATGTCTGGAAGTTATAAAAATGCTTATTTTTGGCCCCTTTTTGGCCCCTAATTCCTTAACTGTTGGTACCATAACCCCCAAAATCAATCCCAACCTTCCTTTTGTGGTATTGAATCTTATGGTAAAATTTCATAGAGATCCATTCACTTTAACTAAAGTAAGAGTGCGAAAACCAATGTGTCTTCGGACGACGACGACAATGCCAACGTCATACCAATAAAATTTAAAAAAAATTTATTTTTTATTATTAAAGGTGGGTTATCAAAAAATAAAATGCATCGCTGAGCGCAGCCTGATACGACTGCAGAGGTCTAACCCTGAACAGTTGGGGCAAATTTGGACATAATTTTCAAGCTTGATACTGTCTGAATTTGGATTGTGATCAAATTTTTGACATAATCATGATAATATAGGTTTCTGACACAAAACAAATGTGGTCAAAGATCTTAAAAATTTATTGCGCAATACTGTGCATTCGAAGATTTCTTCATGAAACTTTTAAAAAAAAATTTTAATTTGAAAAGTTTTGAAAAAAAAAATGAACCCCTTAAAAAAGTAGGGAAAAAAAAAATCCTCCGGGGTGAGTCCCCCCAAACTTTTTGACCACCCCCCTCCTTGGAGCAATTACCCCTAAACTCTATCCCGGCCTTCCCTTTGTAGTACAATTTTAGAGAGATCCATACACTTTCACACAAGTTATTGTCTGGAAACTACAAAAATGCTTGTTTTTGGCCCCTTTTTTGCCCCCGATTCCTGCATGTTTGGGGCAATTACCCCCAAACTCAATCCCAGCCTTTCCGTTGTTATATGGAACCTTGTGGTACAATGTCAGAGAGATCCATACACTAACACAGAAGTTATTGTCCAGAAACTACAAAAATGCTTGTTTTTGGCCCCTAATTCCTAAACTGTTGGTACCATAACCCCCAAAATCAATCCCAACCTTCCTTTTGTGGTATTGAACCTTCTTGTAAAATTTCAAAGAGATCCATTCACTTAAACTGAAGTTATTGTCCGAAAACTATATGTGTCTTCGGACGACGACGACATCATAGCAGTATACGAACCCAAAAAAATGTTTGCGGTCGTATAAAAATTATATTTGCCATTTAAAACATTACTACATATAGCTAGCACCTTAAAGGTTGTGTTTGATAACTTTAAAAATATTTGAATTGCCACCAGAAATATTTGACAAGATTTGACAATACTGGTTTTAGTATGTCATGTATGTTATCCCTCCAAAATTGTCTCCCTTACACAACTTCCTGTTGGTGTTTATGGTTACAAGAGCGCAATTATTTTGTAATGTATTTTCCATAGGGTACC